AGTGAACGACCTTAAGTGTAAATTCTTAATTTTTATTTTATTTAAATAATTATTTTAATTTTTAAATAATAAATTATAAACTATATACAATTTATTATTATTATTATGATTTTTAAATAATTTTTTTTAATTTAATTATTTGATAAGAATATTTTTATCTTTTTATTTTCACTAAATTTAATCTATTAATTATATTACAATTAAATTTTAATTATTTAAAGGACTATTTATTTGTTGCGAAAGAACGAAAATATTTTTTAAATTATTTATTTTATTTTAAAATTTCTTTTAAAAAGACTTTTATTATGGTTTACCTCTTAAAAATGAGGACCGAGAGTTTTAAAAAAATATTTTGAAGCTGAAAACAAGTCCGATGGCTGAAACTGAGTTCCGGAACCAATAAAATTAAGAGGAAATGAGGGGTTGTGGAGTGATATACTTAAATATATTCGAGTCCTTATTAGTAACTATCATTTCAGTTTACACCCAATTTTGTGTAAATTTTGGTATGATAATACAATATCTTCAGTCCTCGAAGGTTCGACTATATTCTTATTTTTTAAAGACAATGGACGCCTTTTTAGGAAACAATTTAAATATTTAATTCTTTTTTTCTAATTTTATTTCTTTTTATTCTTTCAAAACTCCAAAAAAAGATTTCCTTCTTTTCCTTTTATTTCCTTTTCTCAAATTTTCTTAAAACAATAAAAAGCACCAAAGTTTCTGACTTGATTCTTTGCTTCCTTCCCCTTCCTTCCCTTTCTTCCTTTCCTTCCTCTATTCTCCAAACATCAATTCATTTTGTTGAGAGGCTGTCAATATACTTACATATATACTCTTCTCTCCTTTTTTCTCCCAATTTTCTCCTTTTCAAACCCTCCTTCTTTTTATTTTTATTTAATTCTCGACCTTTTCCTATTCATATTATGGCCATTGAGAATAAATATATACATGACTTTAAAGTTTTTCGAAAAAAAAGCAAAAACTATCACAAACACTTTCGTTGAGTGTTTGATAGTTTGCTGCTGCAAAAAAGCAAAAAAATAAAATATAGAAAGGAAAAGTTTTTTTTTCATTCAAAGAAAGTGTTTTTGTGTGTGTGACAGGGAAATGTGTTCAATTTTTTTATTTTTAATTACATAAATTTAAAAGAAACTTTCTTTGTTTGGTTTAAAAACTTTTAACTTTTTTTAAATCTTTTTTTTTAAATTTTTAAAAATTTTTAGATTAAAAAAACTTCCCGCTTTTCAATCCCCAATAGACCAATTTACTACATTGACAAATTTTAAAAAGAAAAATGGAAAGGTGGAAAGAAAAATAGAAAAAAATTTTTTCGAAAAGTTGAAGGCAAAAATAAAATATGTAGATGTTTATATTTTTTAGTTTTTGGTGAGAATGAAAAGTGAAGTGTGGTAGAAAAGTTTTTTTTATTTTTTTTTTGGAAAGCCAACAACCACCTATAACTTTAAATATATTCTCTCTAAAATAAACCCTATATTTTATAAAAAATTTAATTAAATTTAATAATCTTTTTTTAGAATAATTATTATTTTCTTTTTTTCTTTGGTCTTTTTCTACATAGTATTGTTAATTTTTATGCAACAATTAAATAATTTATTTAGGAAATTATCCAAAAATAAATAAATATAATTTAATTAAATAAAATAAAGGGATTAATTTAATCCTGTTAAAAAATTTTCTTTTCTTTTTTTATTAAATAAATTTATTTATTTATTCTTTTATCTTTTAATTTAAAAAAATAAATTTTGATTAAAAATTTTCCTTAATTAAAAAATTAAATTAAAAATAAATATTAAAAAAATAATTTAAAAAAATTTATTAATAATAAAAAAAAATATAAAAAAAATTAAGATAAATTAAAAAAAAATTTTCCTTATAAATTTATATGTATATTTTTTATACATAATTTTTTCAAACAAAAACTTTTGAATTGACTTTTTGTTAATAGAAAAAGTTTTTATTTTATTACTTATTATGTTTTTTACTTCAAAATGTTTTTAATCGCTTTTTATTTTCTTTAAAAATTTATTATTTATTTTATATTTGTTTAAAAATTCCCGCTGTTTAGTTTAATTCAAAAATGGAGAAATTTTAACTTTTAGAGAAAAGTTTTTCTCGAGTTTTTGAAGGAATGTCTAGAGGAGATTATTAGTGAGGGGTGAGGGGATATATTGGATTCGAAATTCTGATTCCGGTTGGCCTGAATTTTCGGTTCTGGCAAGATTTATGGATACTTTCTCTTTTATGTACCTATGGTTGAAATCAGGGCTGTGCGCCAAAATTTTCGCGTGGCGCGCCAAACGCCAAACGCCAATTTTTTAAATTTTAAAAACACGCCAAACGCCAAACGCCAAAAATCGGCCAAAATCAACGCCAAAACGCCAAACGCCAAACGCCAAAATTTTTAGAGTCTATAAAGACTTAAAAACCACTGTTCATTTCATTTTAGCGCCGCATGCGAAATTTTTTGAAATTTCAAGATTCCAGAAGCCAGAATTCATCCTTTTTTTGCCGCCGGAGCGAAATTTTTGAGAATTTTGGAGGCAAAGAAACCGAAATTCATCCTTTAAAAAATTTAAAAAAATAAAAAATTCATAGAACTCCTTGAGATTAAGGTGGATATGAAGGGATAAAGGGAGTAATGAGTATAACAGAGGTCATGAAGAGAGTAAACGATTGACGGGACTAAAGTTTTTTTCTACCATCTATTAGTTTAAAATCCTCCTTTAAGCGCCGCAGGCGAAAATTTTGAAAATTTTGGAAGTCCAAGCAGTAGATTTATTCATTTTTTATGCGCCGCAGGCGAAAATTTTGTAAATTTTGGATGACTGTACGCAGAAAAATTTCCTTTTTTGATAATCACTTTCTCCATTTATTTAAAAAAATTCCATCATTAGGGGTGTATATTTTTGGCGTTTGGCGCGCCAAAATCGGAAAATCACGCCAAACGCAAAACGCCAAAAATCGGCCAAAATTAACGCCAAAACGCAAAACGCCAAACGCCATGACGCACAGCCCTGGTTGAAATATTAATATTTAACTTGAGGAAAATAAATGAGAGAGGAATACTGTAAAGTGAGAGAATAATTATTTTTTAATTTTTATTTAAGATAAAGCACTTTCATTCTAAATTATTTTTTTTTCTCCATTTTCTTTTTTTATTTAAATATTTATTATTTTTTATCAACGTTTTTTTTTGTTAAAACCAATTCCGTTCAGCCTCTCGAGAGAAATTTTCCCAAACATTATTTAATGTTAATCAATTCAAATAATGTGTGCATTGACACAAATTCAATTATTATGCCTGCAGAGCAAAAAGCATAAAATAAATAAAATAACAACACACTTTCCCGGCGAGAATAGTAAGGGGGGGGGGGGGGAAGGGGATAATAAAAATATTTAGGGGAGAATTTTAAAAAATAAAAACAACAATAGCATGCAAAGAGTGACAGAAAATGCGGTGGGCGATAATCACTTGAAGCCAATTGGCGCCTCGAGAATAGGTCAAAAGAGTAAAAAATCAATGGATTTGGTTATTATTTTTAAATAAAAAAATAATTAAATCAAAAAATGCGAGGGATTTTTTAGACTAATTTTTGTTTTAAAACAATATTCTACTAGTATCTTTCCTATTCCCATGTTATTTTTGTTAGGAGAGAGTCTAAACTTCTTTAGGCTATACTTGAATTATTCTCTCTTAATTTCTTTAAATGCTATTTTATTTTCTTAAATTAATAAAAGAATTCCGCCAATCCCAAAAATTGCAAAAAACGGGACCCCTAAAATCCCTACGGGATCCCTAAAATCCCGTATAGGGTTCCATCACACGCTTCAGCTTCTAAATGATGTCGCGATTGTTTTAGATGTTTAATAACCTAACGTCTATTCACAGCAGCTACCATCCATTCAATACTTTAAATGAAAAGCTCGTTTGTACCGTGCTTAGCCATTGATTTAAAAAATTTATATCAATGCCCAGAGTACACCGCGAGGAGGTGCACAGTGGTAAACGGGCAAACCCTGTACTCCACCACTTCCGTAGGACTAGGTTGCCCAGGCCCGAAGCAGGCAGTGGCTAGCGACCTACTCAACCAAGACAACAATTGCAACAATTGTGCCATTGGTTGTAAGAAGCGGGTTAGGTTCAACTAGGTTGCCCAGGCCCGAAGCAGGCAGTGGCTAGTCTAGCCTAACCTAGCCGGGTAATAGCTAGGTTGCCCAAGCCCGGAGCAGGCAGTGGCTAACTATACCCAGCCCTTTGGTTAAGGAAACACCGTCTGCACAATGTGTCGACTAATGAATACAACTTAACACAAAGGGGCCACGTAGCGCAATAGTTAACGTAGACATAGCTAGGTTGACCGAGCCCGGAGCAGCCAGTGGCTAACTAGAACTACGCAACTACTGCTATCAAACTAGGTTGCCCGTGCCCGAAGCAGGCAGTGGCTAGCTTGACCGTTGTCTGGCCAACTAAAATGACATTAGTGGGCGCTTTTATACTAATATTGTATTGCTTTTATAGTAACTCAAAGTAGCATTTTGAAAATTAGACGTTTCGTAATCTTTCTTTCAATGAAAAATCATTTTGTAAAATGTCTGTCCCATTTTTATCTTTCATTGTTTTTGTTATCAATTCTTTAAATTTTATTTTCGGAATTTTAGGAATTTAATAAAATTCTTTTATCGATGCTAAACGTATATATTTATTATTCATAATCAAATTCCGACGTGCTTTTTTTAAAAATAAATATTTAAGTTAAAAAGAGGAGAATCCTTAAATGTTGCTAACTCAAATAAATTTTTGGCAATAAAAAAAGGAGAATACATAACTCATTTTATTTAATTTATTTAAATCTCTTCTTTTTTAGGCCATATATTTTATATTATTAATTTATTTGAGAGGCCTTTCACAATTAAAAGTCATCACTTGCCTGCTTTGTTTTGGTGCCATATTTTTATTTTCTTTGTTTCGCTTCTAAAAAATGGCGGAAAATGATGGAAATAATGTTGCAATTGTTGAGTCCCCCGCAAAGTCGGAATCTCCTTTATCTTCGAGGGAGGAATTTGGAAGAATACAGGTTAATTATATTAAATTTTTTAAATAAAATGTGAATTTTTTTAGAAAGAATTAGCCAAAGAATTAAAAGCAAAAGATGGGCTTGAGAGATTCCTCTCACTTGCTTCTGGCAATTTACTCAACCCTCGGGCTTATACTCCGGATTTAATGGAATATTCAAGAGAACTTTATGAGGAAAGTAAAGCAAAGACAACATTTTTAAGGATGCAATTGGAAAGGTATTTTGGGATTTTTTGTATAATATTTTGGTTTCTAAACTGGGGACATTTATCCATTACGTGGGAATATTGTTTTTTCATTTTTCGATTTGGGGGAATTTTTTCGTTTTGATTTTTATTCTAATTTTTAGATTAAAATTACAAGAACGATCAAACATTGCTGGTAATGGCCGTGAAAGTGATGGAGACAGTACTGAAAACAAAAATGAATCAAAAATTGCTGACCTAATGTATCGATTAAGAAAAGAAGCAGGTTTAAATATTTCTTAATTCTATAAAAATTTTGTTGTAAATTTAGCTCTTATTGCTGGGGCTAATAGTATGCTTAAATTGTTTGGTGAACAAAAGAAACCTGACCAGAAAAGTTTGTTTTTTAATTTAAATTTTGTAAATAAGTTAATCATCATTTTAATCATCATTTTACTTTTTAGGTGTTATGAACGCTCATGAGACCTGTGCTCTAGCAAACGAGAAGCTTGACTTAATTCGCCTTGCGCTTAAAAAATATTCGTTAGTTTTTAATGCTTTTTGACTTAAATTTAATTTTAAATTAATTTATCCCTCTATCATTTTAAGCGAACAATTGCCCCATGAATCACCAAAACGTGAACATGTTTGTCGAGAAATAAACGAATTCTCTGCTTTAGGTCAACGACAATCTTCTTGCGATTCCCCAACTCATGGAAATGCTAATACATTCAATTCTGATAGAAAAAATTCTGTGGACATAGACAACCACCAACAACATTCCTGGTTAGATCAGAGACCACAACTATACACACAGACTCAATATTTGTTGGCTGTTAGTGGGAAACTTGAATTAAGGTTTTTGTTTATTTCATTAAAAACTGAATTATTGCAAACATTTTTAGGTTAATTGGTTGCCAAGATTTGCTTAATAAAATTGATCTTCAAGTGGGGAAAAGCAAATCAATTGGGAAATTATTTCGACAACAAAGGTATTTCTTAAATATTTTAATAAATTTATTTTAATTTTTAGTAATAGTAAAATGATCCAAGCAGAAGAAGTTTATGCCTCTATTCGAATAGACAACAAATTAATTTCGTCAACAAAGTCAAAATTGATGGGTCCAAGTTGTTGGGACCAAAGTTTTTCTATTGAATTGGATCGGGCTAAAGAATTGGAAATTGAATTGTTTTATAAAGATAAACGACAAATGTGTGCATTTGCTGTACTCAAACTTGGTTTGTTTTTAAATTATTTTTTGTTGATTTATAAATTAATAATGACCTTTTATTTTGCATTGGCTAAGGGTGTAATGATCCAAATTTTCTGGATTTGTCACTCATCAGTCCCTTTCACTTTTTAAAATTTTTTCGATTACAGCCATTTTTGCATTATTTATTTATTAAACTTCTCTGGCTACAATATTTTTTTAATGGATTACAATATTTTAAAAATTTAGGTGATTTAATCGACAAAAGCCAAAACGCTGGCAAACACGTTCTTCTTGAACCACAAGGAATTCTCTTTTTAGAACATTTTTATTTGGACCCAACAGTTAGTAGAAAACCTAATTTACAACGACAGAAAAAGATTTTTATGGTTAAAGGTTTTTTTAATTTTTAATTATTTTTTCATTAAAATTTTTATTTTTAGAATTGAAAACAAAAGCAGATACACGAAAACAATTAGGGCCTTCAGTTTTGGGACGTTTGGTTAATAAAAGTAATTCTGCTGCTCAACAATTTGAACCAGTCGTTTCTATAGGACCAAACGATAATGAGACGTCAAGTAAAGGTATTTATTTTTAAATGAAAGGTCCTCCAAAATTCCCACAATTTTTGCCTCCAACACAGAAACTTGAAGTTTTGGCGCATTTGTGCACAAAAATTTACGTTCAACATTTTAGAGAATGGTCCCTCCCTCTTCCCGAAAATTTTGCCTGTCTATGTGCTTATAATAGAAGGGAATATAAAGGGGAGAGAATTTTAATTTAAATGATTTTCTTTTCCTTTGCAATTTTTCCTTCCTTTTTTAAATTTTTAAACTAAACTTTATTTCATTCTAATAATTTTACAGAAGTAGAATCAACAAAAAGATTTGGAGGAAATCATCAAAACAAAAAACATTCTTATACTCCATTGAATCTTCGCGACCATACAAAACAATTAGAAATAATACCTCCACAATCACTTTCAATTGACCAATTTCGTTTAATTTCTGTTTTGGGGAGAGGTTTTTTAGGAATTTTGTTCAAATAATTTTTTTTAATTTTTAGGACATTTTGGAAAAGTTATCCTCTCTCAATATAAGCCTACCAGTGATTATTATGCAATCAAAATTTTAAAGAAAGGAGATATTTTGGCTCGTTATGAAGTTGAGTCTTTAATGGTTGAAAAAAGAATTCTTGAAATTGCTAGTTCAAGTAAACATCCATTCCTTGTAAATTTATTTGCTGGTTTCCAAAGCCGTGAACATGTTTTCTTTGTTATGGAGGTTTTTTATACAAAAATTTATTTTTTAAAAATAAATTTACATTTTCAGTATGCAATGGGAGGTGATTTAATGAGGTAATAATTTGACAAAAAAAAAATTTTTTAATTTAAAAAAATTTTTAGGCATATTCACGATGATATTTTTACTGAAGAAAGGGCTTGTTTCTATGCTGCATGTGTTCTTCTTGGTTTGGTAAGAAATGAGAAAATTAATTAAAATCACTAAATTCTTTTTAAGGAATTTCTTCATACAAATAAAATTGTCTATAGAGACTTGAAATTGGATAATTTAATTTTGGATAAAGAGGGTTATGTAAAGGTTTTTTAAAAGATTTGATTAAAGAATAAAATTTAATTTTGTTTAGTTGGCTGATTTTGGGCTTTGTAAAGAAGGAATGGGCCCAACTGACCGAACTTCTACTTTCTGTGGTACTCCTGAATTTTTAGCACCTGAAGTATTAACTGAAAATAGTTATACTCGAGCAATAGATTGGTGGGGGCTTGGAGTTTTGATTTTTGAAATGCTTGTTGGAGAGGTTAGACAAAATTTTATTAAATAGAATTTTTGGACTTCCCATAATTTTTACTAATAATTTTTAATTAATTTTTTAGCCTCCATTTTCTGGTGCAGATGAAGAGGAAATTTTTGATTCAATTGTTAATGATGAAGTTCACTATCCACAATTTTTGTCAATTGAATCTATTGCAATTATGCGAAGGGTAAAAAATTGTTTTTTAATTTTTAAATTAATTTTTTTTCAGTTAATGCGAAAGAAACCAGAAAAAAGACTTGGTGCTAGTGAGGAAGACGCAAAGGAAATTAAAAAGCAACGCTTCTTTGTGGTTTGTATTTTTTTTAAATTTAATAGAGAAAAATATATTTTTATTTTTTTTCAGCATATTCAATGGGAATGGGAAAAATTATTGAGTAAACAAATTAGACCTAAATTTGTGCCAAGTATTGCTCATCCTGAGGATGTCTCTAATTTTGATGAAGAGTAAGTTTTGATTATTTTTTAAAAAGTTTGGTCGGAAACATAAAAATGTCTTCTATGCTAGAAATTTAGATTTCCGTAAGGGAGTGTTTTAACAATTTTTTATTGTAAAGGGGATAAAGTCAATCCTTTTATTCTAATCAAAATCATTTTTCAAAACTCATTTAAAATTTTAAAGGTTTACCAATGAACATGCTCGCTTCTCTAGTGCAAAATCAAAACGAGAAATTACAGATGCGGATAATGAATTATTCCGAGAATTTGATTTTTGCAATTTGCGTTGTTGACAAATGGTAAAAAACATGGACAAATAAAAAAATATTGGAGGAATGTATGTAATAGTTTGTTTTGTTCAATAATCGACCTCATTCATTCCTAAAAATATGTCCTTCAAGAAAAGGTTGAATTTAGCACAAAGACGTTGAAAATAAAATTTTTTATCAAGTTTATGTCAATCCCCCCTCTCCATTTTCTAAAAGAACGTCTTTGGCTATTTTTATTTTTGTCCTCTCTCTCCCGCTAATTTCTACTTACTAAAAATTGCAGTATCTAAAAATGTTAAATATGTATAAGATTTGGTCTGGGGATTGTAAAAAATATCGGTGTTGGAAGCTGTAAGGGTTATTTGCATGTTTTAGAGTCATTTTTATATTTACTGCAATTTTCCCTATTAAAAAATGTCTTGTGCCTTCACAGATATTGTGGTATTTTTACTAACTAGACATTAATTCTAAATGACAAACTTTTGTTTATTTTTCATTATGTGCTCTCTTTTTCATCTCATTTTTAAGTTGATTTTTTAAGAAAAATAAATTCAGTAAATGGAAAAAATATAATCTACCTAATTTCTCCTAACGATGTCAAATTAAAACAAAAATTTTTATTTTCTAAAAAAACAACTTTAATTGTCTGAAGAAATCAAAATATAACAATTAACGGTCTCGAATATTTCCCCCCATAGCATTCCGAATCTAAAAAATAAAAAAAAAGAATAGTTATTAAATAAATAATTAAACTAACCGTAATAGCCTCCTTTAATTTCTCTGAGAAAATGCTGGCGTTGCCAGATTGGTTTGGACGGGTATAACTTCGTTCAGGATTTTGTTGCTTTAAAGGAAATGTCTTATATAAATAGTCTCTGAATAATTAAAAAATAACCGGGATAGAACGGTTAATTTTTTGATAAAATATTTTTGGTGTTTTATCCAATTCTTTTTCCATTTTTGGCCTATCAAGCCTTTGATCAACAGTTGAAGGGCGATGAATGATTTCCTTAACCACACGGGGTGTATCAAGTGGCGTAGCAAAATAAGAGATTGGATCTTCTTTGTTAAAATTAAAGCGGGGTTTTGGAGGAACTAAAAAAATTGTTTTTAGAGTAATTGAGAAAATCTAATTTTACCTAATTTCTCTTTTTCTTCTTCAGCCTTTTCATGCTTTAAAACCTCATTTGAACTCGACAAAAGTGCATCAATCTTACAAGCCAATTCAAAAATCTTTTTAATTGGCACTTCAATTACAAAAACACCTTGATCCCAAAGATGGTAAATATTTGGTTTAAGAGAATGTTGTGAAATATAAATGAATGGTTTTTTAGTTAATTCTTGCTCGAAAGTGATTGATTCTTTTGAATTTTTGTTGAGTGATGTTTTATCTTCTGAATGGCGAAGAGCCTAGGAAAATAAAAAAAGTGAAGAGTACTTTCCTTATTTAATTTAAAGAAGCCCCCCGTTCCCCCGAACCTTCAAATTTAGTCAAAAAAATTAGAAAAAAACCTTAAATTGTAGAACGCTCAAATAAAACGTTTGCTGAAAATCTCCAAAAAGTATTCCAGGTATTTTATATGTATATAATTGTTGCAATAATCCATTCTCTAATGGAGTTTCTGTCCAACGGTCCATTGAAAGTAATGTTACTAAAAACAAAAATTAAACAAATTTTCTTTTTAAAAACTTACAAGATTTGTCTATCTGAAATTTTATTTCTGATAATTTGTAAATACGTTGAATAAGTAAACGAGCTTGTTTAACTGGCATATGAATAAATCCAAGCCTTTTTTGAAATACAGATTTTTCATGAGGATCATCACTAATTGAGGGCTTCTTAAAAGCAAGAAAAATAAAGGAAAATATTAAACATTGAATTATCTCCCCGACATTTTCTTTTTCTCAACAAAAATTATAGTCAAAAATTTTAATGAAGGGAAAATGCGGCGAGATAATGTGATTTCACTAAAAAATTTTTAAATGTCATTTAAATGTTGCTTCAATTTTTACCATAAAGTTTAAACTGGGTTTGGGGATTAATTTTATTAGTATATCCTTTAATATATTCCCCCCTCTTTCATGTCCCTTTCCTGTATATAAGCTAAATTCGGACCCGATAATTTAAAATATTTTACCAAATTATATTCATCAATATTCAATAATGGTTCTTCGAATCTATTGCCTATTGTCAACTCCAACATTCGGTCATCTAAATAAATAGTAGATTTGTTGCTAGATTGTGGCTGCTGAAAAAGTTAAAAATTTCTAATTTTTATAAAATAGAATCAAAATTTAAAAAATAACAATTTGTTGAACTTCCAATTGTTGACGTTTGTCAATATTCCAAAACGATAAAGTCGGTGGCTTTGACTGCTAAAAAATAAATGGTAAATGCTAAATTAATTTTTTAAATTAGCTCTATAAATTTTAAAAAATATATTAATACCTGTCGGCCTTCATACGGTTGTTTATTTGCATTCAGTAGAGTTGGTGGTCTCTGCTGCTGAAAATTAACAGAATTTTTAGTGAAATGATAAACCTAAATTCCTTGATCGAAAAATATTCAGAAAATTTTACCAATATTTGTCGACGATCAATTGATTGCTGATCCTGTCTGCCTAAATTACGAAAAGATTGTGGATTTGATGCCAAATTTGCATTCCTATTGGGAAGATTAGACTGAAGTCTAATTGAAATAATAATTCGATTGAATTGGAACAACTTGTAAAATAACATAAAATTCCTTTTAAAAAAGAATTAAAATTTAAAAAAGTAATATAAAACTAAAAAAATATTTGAATAAATAATCAAATAAAAATTAAAAACTTTCAAAAATTACAATTTATTCAAAATAAATTAAAAAATGTTAAAATAAAAATTAATTATTCAAAATCAACCGTTGCTTCACTAGTTGTTGAAAAATTTCTTTCAACTTCCTTAATTTTTAATTTTTCTTGTTCCAAAATTACTTTACGTTCATCACACATTGCTACACGAATATATTTAGTTGATTTACAATTCTAAAAAAATTAAAGAAGTTTTACCAAACAATTCATTTTTATTAATTACCAAACAAGGCTTTAATGGCATTTTTTCGTAACAAATTACTCGACGTTTACAGTCCATACATTTAAAGAATCTTTTATCAGCCACATGTCGTTTTATTTGATGTCCCGAAAGTTTGCAATAAGTACTTTGATTAACACTGGTATAATCACACTAAAAGAAGTTTTTACTAAAAGAGATGGAAAGATTTTAGTGGGGAAGGACAGATAATTAGAAAACAAAAAATGATGCTTGTCTGATAAAAAGGAGTAAAAAAGTTCTGGTCTATAGAGAACGAGTGTTAAAAAATTTTGTGATTTAGCTAGGACAAATAATAATTTGATGACCCAACGATTTTCCGAAAAACAACAAGATTTTTAAAAACATTTCCAAAGCAAAATTTTCTATAACCAAAAATCCAATAAATTTTCTTACAATTTAGGGTTAAATTAATTAATATTCTTCATTAAATTTACTTGTGTACACGTAACCACTTTACAACCACGAATTTCCATTAAAGAAGTTGCATTTGTTTCAATTTGTTCTTCGACTTCACGACGATCAAAATAAAGATTTTGGCGATTTAATTGGTCCTTTAAAAAAGAAAAATTAAAAAATATTCTTTAAAATAAAAATCTTAACCTGATCAGCTTCATGTTCATAACTAGATTTTTTATTTAACAAAGAATTTAATTGTTCATCTGTAAAAGTTCCACCCAAAAGAGACCCTCCTTTTTTCTTTATTTGTTGACAAGATTGTTCGGCTGTTGTCTCTACTAAAAAATCAAAAAATATTTTTGATTTAAAAACACAAAATTTCCCAAACATTTTTGACGTTTATTTCCATTATAACTTGCTCCTCCATTTCCCGCTTTAAATATTTCTGCTGCTCTTTTCTTTAAAAATTATTAAATTTATTTAACAAAAAAATCTTCATACCAATTTATTTAATTCATTGGAATTCAAAACATTTTTTGAGTCCGCCAATAAAATTGATTGTTTGTCTCGAGTATTTGACGAACTATTTGTAAGATGAATTGAATTTTGCTAAAAAGGGAAATTAATTTTAACTTAGAAAAATAATTTAAAATTAGAATAACGAGGGAAAAAATTCTATAATAGGATAAAATTTGAGAAAACAAAATTATTTCCCTCAAAGGGAACCGAACCCTTTAAAATGCAATTGAATAAAAATAAAATTTCTCCTATCAAACAAGAATTTTCCCACTAAACCAAAGTGTTTGTTCGACAAAATTTTCTAAAAGCCTATATCAATTTAAAATGCAATTGAATAAAAATAAAATCTTTAATTACTTGAGTTTGAATAAAATCGCGCATTGAAGAAAGTGAACGATTACTGGCAGACTCCGATGGTTTTGCAGCATTTGCTTTTGGGTCAATATTTTCTTTATTTGAAGACTGGGACAATCTTTGTCTCATTATTCGAAGATTTTTTGAGCCAAGATGGAAGGGCTTTAAAAGGAGAAATTTAAAAAGATTAAATTAAAAAAAGAAAAAAACATTTTCAGAAATAAGCTTTTCAATTTGTTTGTTTTGCTTTTCAAGTTCTGGATCAATTTTTGTTAAAGATTCATTTAACGACGTGTTCCTAAGGGAAGCTCTTCTACTTGCTGACATAGGCATTATAAATCTGTTGAAATAAAAGTATCAGAAATTTGTAAATAATTTTGATAATTGGAACAAATTAACCAAAAAATTTACTTACTTTTTGCCCTTTTCTTCAGCCAAAGATTTTCGACGTTTTATCAAAACAAGCTCTGGAGGCGGTCGTTCTTTTTGTGGTGATTGCCCCTTTGATTGAAGTCTATACTCTTTTGTAGGTAAATTGGCTGTACGATTCAATGTCCCTCGTTTGGCAGCAACTTGACGAGCTCGTTGTTGTATATGGAAAGGGCAATAAAGTGAACGAGAAATATTGACAAAATTGGAACACTGATCTCCATCAGATGCTTTTCGGCCCTAAAAATTAAAAGAAAGAATTTTTTAAAATATTCTTAAATAACCTGACACCTGCCAAGATCTGGACAAAAACCAACTTCAATTAACTGACCAGGCTTGAAGAGTTTTAGCGTTACTACAAATTCAAGAGATTAAAAAAAAACTAGAAAACATATACATTCATTTTGTCGAGTAGAAGTGTTATTATTTGCAGAAGGTTCACATACTTGAGGATTATTTAAGAAAAATGTATTGCCCGGTTGTAACTTCCAATATTGTCGAAAACAATCACCAAAAAGAAGAACCTTAAAAAATTGAAAAAGTTTGGAAAAGGGATACCCGTGGCAAGGGAAGTATCTGAAAAACACCAAATAAATTGCTCACCTTAACAGAAACAGCATTCAAATCCTTAAAAATTAATTTATTAAAATTGGCAACTCAATTATGATTAAAGACGTTATTTCACGATGGGAAAGTCCGAAAAATCAAAATAAAGCTGGGAATTTTTTTATTTGAAGCTAAGCTAAAAACATTTTTTGCAAGTTTCAGACCTCCTTTCAATTCAAAAACAGCCCTGATTAAACGAAAAAAACCTTAAGATCTGACATTCTCCAAATAATATATTCATTTCCATTTCCACTCTTTTTACATCCACTACGTTCAACCATTACAGCCATTGTTGCCCATCCTTCCTCATTTTCATTTTTCTGCATAGACAAAAGTCGGTTTGCTGAGAGTTGACTAAGTCGAAGTTTTTGCATTCCAGAAAAGAATGTATTGGAAGTTTGAAGTGTTAATTTTGGATTACTTAAAATTGAAGAAAAAATAAAAATTAATTAAAAAACCTAATTCGAATTCCAAACAGAGGATCGAAAATTTCTGCTGTTTGTGATTTGGAAGTGTCTTCTTTACATTCTTCTGATGCTGTAGTTGTAAACATTATAAAGATTAAAAAGATTATTCTAAAAATAATTTTAAAAAGAAATAACAAATTCGAGAAAATTCCCGGCTTTGCGCCAGCCGACCCGCGCCAAACTGGTTGCGCCAAACGGCCCGCACCAAAGTGGGCCGTACCAAGTAAAATACGCGCGCGAATTATCCATTTAATTTTATTGAATTTTTCTAGGGTCAAATGTTTCAATTTTTGCATATTTTCCTCGCAATTCCTTTTAATTATAATCAATAGGGATTAGCAATTTTTTATAAAAGGGGAACTTACATATGTGGTTTAGGTACTCTTTTTTTAGCCACACCCCTTTTTTCCTTTTCCATCATTATTTTTAACTCTTTTTCCTTCGAATCATCAATCAATTCTCAGCTAGGTCAATTTTTTAAATGTATACTACAATTTCTTAGGGATGTCACTGAATAAATAGACCAGAATTGGTCCGTGGTAACATAGATAAAAATAAGAAAATTTATTCAAAAGATTTGAAAGATAAAATTAATCTTTTCTTTGTTATTCTCTCATTGAACATGTCACTGGGAAAATTGAGTGAAATTAGGAAGGCTGACCATTCTGTCCATATTAAGGTTAATTGTAAAGGAAAAGGAAAAAAGGGGCGTGGCTAAAAAAGAGTAATTAAACCATATATAAATTCCATAAAAGGCATGAAAAACTTCATTTAATAAGTTTAGATGTTGGTTATTTCATCCTTTCTTTCCCTTAATAATTTATGTTTTAAAATTTCAGAAAATTTCTTTAGATTTGTTAAAGTTTTTAAATAATGTCATCAAAAGATTCTGCGGAATTTGACGAGTCCAATCCTGAGGAAATTAGAGAGGAGCTTAAACGACTTAAAAACCTTCTAAAAAGTGAAGCGTCAAAGAATACCAAACTTGCAACAGACTTGGAGCAATTTCGAGCGCTGTTTGTTTTTTTGGAGTTTTTGTTAAAATTTAAATAAAATTTTTAGTTATGAACGTGAACACCGCAAATATCAACAAGTCACTCGCGACTATGAACAGGAGATGGAGAAGCGCGACAGAGAGCTGGAAAAACGTGAGCAAGAAATTTTCGAGCTTGAAGAACATCGTCAGCGTCTTTTGACTAACAATGAGAATGTTAAGGTTTTTTTGATAATTTGAATATTTTTTGCTAACAATAAACATGACAGACCCCATAATTTTCTCCCCAAGTTTCTTCCTATATGTTTGCAGAATGGTTAGACTTCTTCCTTCAATTCTCCTTACTTCCATCTAAGGGGGAATAAAATTGTTCTGATTGTTTGTAAGCAAAATATAGAGAAGGACAATTGGAATGGAAGAAAGGAAGGCCTGACTGAAAGCCTGACCATTTTTTAGATATATAGGAGTTAACTTGGCGAGGAATGAATGGGGTCTGTCAGTTTCAAACCTATTATTTAAGAGTGAGGTCGCTGCTTTGAATCAACAGAATCGCTTTTTGACTGAGAAGCTCTGTACTGTTCAAAAGCAATTACTCGAGGAAAGGAACAAATCTCTTCCAAATCCTGCTGGAAATGAGACGGCATTATTTGAAGCAGAGTCTAAAGTGGACGAGCTTAAGGCAACAATTGTTTGTTTTTGATTGTTTAAACTTTTTAAAAATGAAAATTTTTAGGCGAGTATGAAAGCTGAAGTTAGCCGCCTTTTGACTATGAATTTTGAATTGGATGACCGTGCAAAGCAATTGGAAGCCGAATTGACTCAAGCAGCTACGGATCAAGAATCAATGCGTGCTCTCATTAAATGTCAACAAACTGACTTGGAAAATTCTCGCGAGAAGATTCAGGATTTGGAGGTTGAGATTCATCAATTGAATTCTCAAATTGCTGGTGATATGCCTGTTGCTGCTAAAGGGAACTCGCTTTTTGCTGAGGTTGTTTTGAATTGTTTTAAAAATTTTGTTTAAGTAAAGGGGATTAGCTGTTTTTAGCCTTCCAAATAAATTCGTTTTGACCATCAACCTTTTGCTTTTTATGTTGTGTTTTTGTCCTTTTCCCGCTTTTTAACATGAGCCATTGCCCATTCTCTGATAGGATATCTAATTTTGGGGATGTATGGTCACATAGGGGTGCATGGTTTTCCTATAGTTTTTTCCTCTCTATTTTAGAATTACCGCCCCTCGAACCCAACAATTTTTATACAAAATTTTTTAAAGGTCATTGATGGTAAGGACCGAGTTGAAAAGGATTTGGCTTTGCTTCACAAAAAGCATGCCCAACTTCAAAAGGAATACAATCGAGTTTCAAAGATTGCTTACAACAATTCAATGAGTAATTCAATTTGTCGTGATGGTTATAAATTGCAAGGACCAACACTTTGTTAGTTTTTCTTTTGTTTTTTAAATAAATTTTTAAAATCATTTAAGCTGTCTTCAAAATGGTTAACAGCGAACTCTCTATGCGATTGGACGAGAAAATGCGTTTAATTGAGAAATGCCATGTTTTGGAAGATGCTGAACGCAAAAATATGATTAAATTTGCTAAGGAGAATCCAGCTGATTTCGACATTTTCCAAGAGCATATGAATTCTATGGTTTTGTAAGTTTTTTTGTTTATCTTTTAAGTTCAAAAAATATTTTTAGACGTGACAAGCAACGTTTGGAACGTCGTGTCATCAACTTGGAATTACGCGAGAGGGATTTTCTGGATGCAATAAATTATGAAAAATCTCGTTCTTCATCTGTTCCTCAATTGGAGCACAAGTTGCAGCAATGTGAACGTTTATTGGCTAATTATGAGACTGCACAGTTGCGTTTGGATGATGATGAGGGAATTTGAAGTGGAAGAATAGAAAAGTATAATTTATATTTTGACAGGCTTTAATTTAGAAAATTTCGCAAATTATTGTATTTATTGACTTTTGGTGTTGAAATAAATTTTTTTACTGATTTTTTATTGGCAAAATTTTTCGAATTTTGGGGCTCAAGCCCCTATGGGTGAAAATCCCACAGTTATTTTTCGCAATTATACTTCTACATAGTTGATCTAAATAGTTTTTGTTATCACAAGATGTCCAAATGTGGGGTTGGGGTCGTTTTGGCGCCGGGCCGTTTTGGCGCGAGAACTAAAAACTGGTATTTAGGCAAGACCTAAATTCATAAAAATTTTATCAAATTTCTTTAACATCCTTGGCTACCTCCTCCAGAAATTTCAGATTTTTCATCGAATATTTCTGAAGTTATAGTCGATAGACCTCGAAAAATTAGGCATTTTTCAGAAAATCAACATTTTTGGCCATAATTTCTAAAACTCTTGCTCAAAAATTCTGAAATTTTTGGAGAACTTAGATAAAGGTACGAGAGTTATTATTACAAAATTTTATCATTTTTGATAATCAACTCGCTATCTTACAAGCTCGCGCCAAAACGGCCCCGCGCCAAAACGGCCCCGCGCCAAAACGGCCCAGTCCCCCAAATGTGACCTTTACATCTGTTATTTTTTTGTTCGCATCGCCAAAAGATACGATTACTACCGAGCTTAACCAGTCAATCACGTAACATTAGCCAGAAATTTTTGCGCCGTTTTGGCCTTGCGCTTTTATGGACGTGTCCCTGATTTTCGGTTTACGATTTTTTCGTTCTTTCCGATTTTTGATATTTTAGAGAATCTAAATGTACATTTTCGATAAAATGTACATTTTAATAATTTTTAAAAAAATTTTAGAAAGTTAACGAATTTTTTTTCTCTTAAAATATTTATTGAATGTTTTCATTTCGAGTTATTCAGGTTAATTTAAAATTAAATTTTAAATATTTATGCATTTTCAGTCAATTTCAAGGCGTTGTTTATCCACTTCTCTGCCTTTTTCTTCAACAAATTTAAATCCAAAATTTAAAGAAGCTTTTGTTGATAAAAATGATGACAACAATTTTGTAATAAAATTAGACAATAATTATTTAAAAAGTCCTGCTGGGAATGTTCTTTTAATTAAATCTGAACTTTTGGCTTTATTAATTTCAAATGAATGGAATTTAAAAAATAAGGAAGGTTTTGGAAGTATGCACTTTACAGGTTTATTTTTTGATTAAAAATTTATTTAATTTTGAAATTTTAGGATTGGCTTTTACTGGTGAGTGAGTAGTTTTTTGAATTAATAAATAGGGAAGTATTGGGTTATTTTTGGTATATTTCTGTAAAAAACTTGAAAATGTTTTACTTTTTGGGGGGTTTTTTAGACTTTTTTCCCTTTTGTGTGGGTTTTAGCTTTTGTCTTTAATAAAAGGCTACGAAACTTTCGAAAGTTAAAAAGCTTCCAGTATTAAATTTTGGGGAATATTTAAAGAGTTAGAAAATGTTGGTTAATGTATTCTAGAACAAATATTAGATGTCTTTCTGGTTTCCTCAATTAATTTTTTTACTATAATTGATATACGTTATACTCCAACCGAATTTTTAAAATTTTCCAAAAATTTTCTGTTTTTAAAAAAATATTTTTAAATTTCAAGCTCTAGACAATCCTCATGGAGAAACTAGTGATTCTCTGATAGAAAAATTAATAGGTTATTTAGACACGGACACTTTACTTTATTTTTCCAATTGCCAAACATCATTATTTGATCAACAACAAAAACAATGGTTGCCAATAATTAATTGGATAAATTTTAAATTAAAATTAAATTTACAACAAACAACAGAATTTTTTGAGCCTCCAAAAATTTCAAAAAATTGCAAACAAAATTTAAAACAATTTTTGTCTTTTTATAAATTTCCTTCACTTTGTGCAATTAATTATGGATGTGAATCTCTAAAAAGTTTAATTTTAACAATTTCGGCAATTGAAAATTATTTGAGTATTGAAGAAGCTGTAAATGCTTCTAATTTGGAAAAAATATTTCAAAGCAAAGTTTGGGGAAGTTTTGAATGGCATCATGAAGTTGAACGATTGGAAGTCTGTTCGAGAATATCTGCGGCTATTTTGTTTGTTTATTTGAATTCTAATTGAATTTTTTTTGTTTAGAAGACTTGACAGGTTTTTTTTAATTTTTGGGGACTTTGTTGAGGGTAAAAAAGTCTGTCTAATTTCTAGAGAATTTGACAGAATTTATTTTTCATCATTTCTTTTTAAATCGAGTTAGTTTTCTAAATATGTATTTTTTGTTATTTTTTTTTGACTATTTATTAAATAAAATTTTAAAATTTTCGACATATTTTTGTTCTAGCATTGATTTAAATTTTGTATATTTATCTTTCAAAAAATTTTTAAATTTATTTTTTGTTTGATGGAACAACAATTTGTTAAATTAAAATTAATTCATTCGGCAGATGAATGTTTTGAATTTGTTTGTTTTATTTTAATTTTCTTATATTTTTTTAAATATTTTTAGTGTCCCAAACTTGTTCCAGGCATCAAAATCGGAGATATTATTAAAATCAAATCTTTAATTTCTGATGATTTTGTTGTCTTTCAATATACACAAAAATGTGCAAACGATTCGAGACTTAAAGATAAAAGTATTGTTGCCTGTTCCAAAGCTTTTGAAAACAAAAAGAAGCAATTCCCAAATCGTTCAAATGTTTTGGTTGGAATTGTGGATAAAAAAGAGGTTTTTTATAAATTTTTTATGATGAAATTATTTTTGTTTAGATTACACTTGACAGTTTGGAATTGACATTTAAGGTTATTTATTTTTCAATTTAGAGAGTCAAGAGTTTTTTCTATTTATCCAATTCTAGTCTGGATTTTTGAATTTTTTATTTCAAAATTTGTTAAGCTGCTATGTCCCCTTTTTCATATTTTAATTTCCTTTTAAGTCATTTCTGAATTTTAAACTAAAATTGTTTCAAAAAAAATTAACCCTCGAAAATATTTTTATTTTTCAGGAATACTACGTCTCTCGAGCTGATATGTGGCGAATTCGAAATTGTTTGGTTGATTCTTGTGTTTATGTCGGTAAAAGAGAAGAATGGCTAGGAATTTTATTTACTGTTAGCGATTTGTGGCGATTGGGGGAAATGGCTTGGAGTGGTTATGTTTCTGATGAAACTAGGTTTTTTTTTGGATTTTTTAATTATTTAAAAAAATTATTTGTAGAATTGTTTTTCGATCATCGAGTTCACAGGTATGTTTTTTAATCATAAAGCTTGAATCTAAAATTGGGTTTTAGTCTACCAAGACATTTGAAATATTTTTAGATTCCCTTTACTGTTTTTTATCAAATTTTTAATCGTTCATTTTTTCTTAAGCCTAGTTCCAATTTCCATTAAGAATTTTGTCCCTTTTGGTTGACTTTTTTCATTTTTTTGAAATATTTATTCCAATTTAGGTATTAATTTTCATTCAATTTGGGACAGAAATGTGTGATATAGATCCACATGGCTATTTATATTTTGAAAAATGTGTTAATGGATTTTTACCAGAATTATTTACAAAATGGAAAGATCAATTTTGTGCTCATTTGGTTTTTTTATTTTTTTTTTAATTTTTAAAAATTAAATAAACAGGTTACATTAATTATTTTTTCTCGTTGGTATTACAAAGAAGAATTACTTGATGAAGAAATGAAAGAAAAATTAAAAGGATGTAGAGATCATCGAGGAAGACATTACCAGGTTTTTTTTAATAAATTGGATAAAATATTTTTTTTAATTTTAGGATTTTTATTGGCTTTTGGTACAAAATGAGCATTATTCTGATTGGACACATGTTTTGTCAAAGGTTTTTTTTTAATTTTTTTCTTCTATAGATTTTGCATTAAATTTAATTTTGGATTTTTGTCCGTCTTTATTTTCCTAAATTAGTAGAAGTTGGTTGGTTAAAGGTTTTAATTAGAGATCGGACTCAGATTATATCTCGAAAAAAATTTCGATTATCAAGATCGAGCTTTTTCGCTATTAATTTTCGTACGACCTCCCCGTCCAGTCTCTAGTTCTAACTTTTAAATATATATTTCCAAACAAATTTCCATTAGTATTCAGTTAATTCTTTTACATCCATAATTTTCAAATTCTTCTCCAAGTTTTTTGGAACTTCTATTCTTTCCATACCTCAATTAATTAGTACCTAGACCTTTATTTGTTACAAAAAGTATCTTAAATATTTACAAAAAATTAAAAAAAATCAGTTCCTATTTTTAATAATTTTTTATTTTAGTTGAAATTAGCCTTTTACAAATACAAAGATTCCATTGATAGATACAATTCAGAAACATTTCCAGTATTTTTTATTTATTTTTGTTTAATATTCTTTTAAATAAAAGTCTTACAAAAAATCAGAACCAGTAAGTATTTGGTCAACTTCAATGGATGGAAACTTTTTGGAGGTTTTGAATATTTCAATGAATAGTTTTGTTGCTTATCATTCTGATAGACGTTTTGAGACTTCTGGACAGCAGGTTTTCATAAAATTATTTTTAAAGTATGTGAACTTTCTGATAAGGACTTTTTTGATGTCATTAATCCCCATTGGTGATTTTAAAAATTAAAAAATTTTGTGTTATTTTGGTTCCCTCTACCACTTTTATTACTATTTCTACTTCACATCCTTCTAAAAATTTATTACTCCCTCAGGAAGTACACCTCAATATTTTTCGCTACTCGTCGGTTAAATCCTACATTATTCATATCTTTCAGTCCCATTTTTTTAAATTTGACCATTAATCAGATTTGTCATTAAATTTATATTTAAATTTCTTTTTTTTCCAGATTATTTTTGTTACTCCTGGTGGCGGTGTATTTAATGTGGATAGAGAAATGGTTAATTTAACCAAGTAATTGAAACTTTTTTTAAGATTAATTTTTCTTCATTTTAAGGCAACGTATAATAGATATGGGAATTTCTTTGGATATTGTTTGTTTAGGAGAACAACCTCTACATGCTGTTCCACTCTTTGTTTTTAAAAGTAATAATCCCCAATGTTCAGATGATTATTTTATTCCACATTGGATGAATTATAGTTATTACCAAATGTCCAAACGTTCTGTTTTTCCAATTAAATTTAAGACGAGAATTAGTTTTCCTGAAGATTTATTGAAGGTTTTTAATTTTTCTTTTGGTTTTATTGGTTTTATGAATTAAAATTATTAATATAGGGGCTTTAATTTTTCACAAATTTATCTGTGGACTAAATTCGAAAATTATTTATTTTTATTTTTTAGAACACAGAAGAAAGCCTTTATATGGAGAAAAGCATCCAAGGCGTGGAGGACACTTATGCTTATGATGAACAAGCATTTAATAACTTTGCTCAAACAAATTTTGGTGCCGCTAATAATTTATTAAATGAATTATATAATGAATTGGCAATAAATAATGATGTTGGTGGATTTTCGGGAAATTTGGAGGTTTGAGGATTTAAAAATTTTTGACTTATAGTTTGGATGGTTAATCTCTTATTTCCAGACCTCAATTCCATTTCTTATTTTCCTTTTCATTTACTTTAATTTTAAAGTTTGGCCGTCCTTCAGTTCTCTCCTCTTCTGGAGAACGAAAAATTACAGGTTCATTTGAATCCCGCCATGGAAGTTATGAGCGAAATAGAATAGAAACTACAAATACACTTCAATTCAGAAGCGGTTAAACCTTCAAACTTTAATTTAAAAGAACATAATTTTAGTATCTCAACGTGTTCCCAAACAAAGTTATCAATTTTTTGATCCAGTCCAAAGAGGATTTTTAAATCCTTTTCGGCCAGAGGATTTTATTGTTAGAATAACTGCTAATAGAAGGAGATGGATTCATGGTTTATTTTTAAAAATAATTTTAAAATAATACCTGATATATTTTCAAGTTTTCCCCGTTGATCGACTCGGAAGAGCGAAGTTAGCTCATCACTATGTTGTTGGAACAAGTACAATGAGTGTATTACAAACTATTGAACCTGTAAAATTAAAAAAAAAATTTTTTTCTAATTTTATGTTTAGGAACCAACAATTGCCAGGCAAGCCAATTCTGTTCATGATTCCTCCACAACAAGACAAGAATCTTCTCCACAAAATCATTTTATTGAGAATAAAGTTACCGGATTAGGTGCTAAAGGAAAAACAATGGTTTGGGCTTGGGGATCTACTGGAGAGGAAAAGTGGAATCCAGATATGGAAGTAGGTTAATTTTGAGAAAAATATTATTTATGGGGGTGGAAGTATCTATTTTAACATTATTCGGTTTCTAAAACATTTTAAAAATACATTTTAAAGATTGGTTGTGATTGGAAATCACTTATTCGTTCAGGCCTTTTACCAATTACAACAGACTTTTTCCCTGATGGATCTTCTTTAAATGATTATATAATTCAAGAACATCATGTTTATTTTGATTATGAAGAAATGAAAAAATTGGTTTCTGAAGAAAATTTTCCAAATCCAACATCTCAACATTTATATTATCTTTTACTCGACCAACTAATTTATCAAAGGTTACAGAGAGGATATCAAATTGTTGTTTTGCCTAAAGAATATATTCATTCAGCTATAAGGTTTGTGTTTAATTTTACTAATTTTGGATTGAGGTTTTCTGTAATTTTTTTTTGGTTTAGTAGGAAATTATAGTTGATTTAATTTCTGGTTTAGTAGATAAAAAACATTTTGAGTTTTGAAAGACATTCAAAAATTTAGAATATTTTCTCCTGGCCGTCATTTTCTTTTTAATTTTTTTTGGTTACCAAACCGGAACACAATTTTCAACACGTTTTTGTACCTTAAATCCTATAGGATGGAATTAAAAATAAATTTTTTGATAACGATTTTTTTATATTTAACAAAATAAATATTCTTTTGCAAATATAAATTAAAATTTGTAAAAAATTTATTAAAAATCATCGCGGGTTGAATTATACATCTAACGCAAAAGGATCTTTCAAAGTCAACGAGACTACCACTGAACTATACAACCCGCGAGAGGATTTAGTTTATAAATTCATTTATAAACTATAAACATTCAAAATTTCGGACTATTAATCCTAATACAAATAATATTTTTTGTTGATGAGAATTATTCTACTTTTCTAAAAAATAATATAAATGAACTGTTTTCAGTTCACTATCGGTTCGGTTCAGCCTTGGAAATAACTATAGTTCAGTTCAAATATTTATAAGTTAAAGTTAAAAATTTAAATATAAGTTCAATACAAGTTGAAAATGAGAAATTGAGGGGGAGTATATATAGTGATCCTAAAGTAAACAGAGATTGTTATTGTGAATTGACAGGTCAGAATTAATTAAATAAAATGGAAAACAAAATATAAGATAAGGATTTTTGGGTAAACATTAAGTCGGGAAAACTCAGTAAACCTTTTGTAAAATTGGAAGGTCAAGAGTTTATCATTTATTTATTTTTATATTTTGGGAAAAAGATAATTTTTAATTTGTTTATTTGCTGATGCGAATGCAGCATCCCTTCCTCCTTAATTAAGATGACGTCCACGTCATGCTTATTAAATTAAACGGAGGAGATTATATTTTAAATTTTTAATTTGTTTATTTGCTACAAATCGCATTTTGTAAAAACAAAAATTTTATGTTAGAAGCCATTTAAGGTTCTATTTTAGCTTTTTTTTTTCTCGAGGGATTTTTTTTTTAGATTTTTTTTTATTCTCCTCTTGTATTATTTTTTTTTAAAATTTTGTTTAATTTTATATTTCTCCAATTATGGGATTGGAATTTTTTTCACTTTTCTCCGACAAGAGTTTAAAGGGATATAGAAAAATTTTTAAATTTGATTACAGACTGGAATGTTTTAAAAAATTAACGGTGAAATTATTTAAGGAATTTAAGTGATTATTTTAAAAGGAAATTGGGGTGGGGAAAATTTTAATTTTTTTTAATGTCCATTTTTAAATTAATGATGAGCACCATTTCTTATCTTCTTTTTACCCTCTGGCATTTGTCCATTTACTTTCCGATTCCATTCCTTGTTTGCTTTTGTGCGTCCTGTCTGTTGTTTTGACGTTGGCAGGCTTATCTTTTGGTGATGGATGTAGTCTTTCTCCGATGGTCCTGCTGTCTTTGTCGATTCTCCCATGTTAAAATTAGGGGGTCTTATCACAAGTTTGTCCTCAACCCACTTTTTTCTTACTTTTTTATTTGTGGGACTGTTTTTCTGATAAGTATGTTTTGAGCTTGGGTTTGTTAAGTTTGTGTCTATTCTCAAGCCACAATTTTTTAGTGAATTATTATTTTTATTTATTTCGTGATTGTTTTTAAATTCAATATTTTCCATTAATTTTATTTTCGCCTTTTCAATATTTTGATAATTTTTTATTAATGTTTTCGCGATTAATTTACCCGTTTGTAAATCTAGGAATAACGGAAGGCTTTTTAGGGTTTCTCTTCCAATAATTACATCATATTTTCCTGTTTTACTAATTTCATTTTCTAATATTACAAGCTTTGTTATAATTTCACAACCCGCTATTTGGAAAATTATTTCTCCTTGGCCAAGTGTGGGTACAATTTTATTTCCTATACCAACTATGGCACTTAATTCAGCGGGAAAGATTTCGTTTATTTCTAATTTTTCTGCAGTTTCTCTACCAGTCAGGGATACATGAGCTCCTGAATCTAATAGGCAAATTATTTCTTTACCATTTATTTTAGTCTTTATTCTAAACCATTCATCACATGTATTGTCATAACCAGGTGCTATTTCTGCTACATTAATTTCTTTCTCTAGTTCTTGTTTGTTTCGCAAAGCTGGCTTTAAAATAAACGTCAGTACACATAGTATAGTACTAGCAAATAGAAAGGCGAGAAATATCCAAATTTGATTTAATATGAGTAAGCTCGCGAAATTTGCGGAAAATATGCTCTCTTTGGGCAATTCTGTCATTTTCCAATTATCGCTTGTTTTTTCTTTAAAGGTAAAGGGTGAGTATACGGGACAATTCATTTCAATTTGTGGTCCATGGCTAGCCAAAGCGGGGCTCATAGTAGCAATAAGTGCAAATATAGTTAATAAATAAGGGCTAGATATTCTTAATGGACTTGCAACTCGGCTTTCACTAAATCTCACTCTTCTGGTGGGTGACCGGCTATAATTATTTGGTGAATTTTCTCTATAATTTCCGTGATTATTGTCATTATATCTGCGGTTATCTCTATTATATTCATTTCTATAATTATTTCTGTTTTCCCAATAATTATTTTGATAATTTCTTCGCTCATAATTATTATATTGGCGAGCTTTATAATTTTTTCTTGCTCTGTTTCGGCAATCCGCTATTATATGTCCAGGTTTATGGCAGTAATAACATAAGCGTCTTGTTTCTCTAGACCGATTAATTGCTAGGGCTTCTACTTTTTTTGCCAAATCAACATATTGGTTATTTTGATATTTTTGGCGCTTTTCGTTTAATAATAATTCAAAATGTTCGGCAACTTCAAATGCCTTAGAATAGTCTTCAGGTCTGGAAGCTTTTACTTCGAATTGAAGGTCTGGCAAAAGCCGATCCAAAAATTCATCTAGCAATCGCTGCTGTATAGTATTTTCTTCGTAACCAATCATTACTGCACGTACTGCGTCATTTAATCGCTGCGCGAATTCAAAAACTCTTTCTCCAGGCGCTTGTTTTATTATAGATAGGGCTTGCCTAGCTACAGTACGAGAATGACCATTTACAAATTTTTCTTGCAAGAAATCTATTGCTTCTTGCAGAGTAGCTGGTTGCGGGACTTTAGCGTCAAGTTCAGCACGAGCGCGACCTCCCAGGCACACTTTTAGACGACTTAGTTTTTGTGCTTCATTAAGAGGGGTAATTATTAAATTTAGAGCATCCATAAATCGTTGGAAAAATTTTGAAAATGAGCTAGTCGGGTTACCGTCATAGACTCCGACTGGTGTCATTAGACCGTTTAAGAATGGGTCTCCGATCATAATCTCAACATTTTCTCCAGTAATGGGTTTCTCAGCAGCTTCCAACGCTTTTTCAGGAGGTTTAGTCTTGCGATTTAGGTCAAACGATTCATTACTTCCGTGACCGTTCCATGAAAATCCGGATCCTCGCGATTCATTTTCTAAAACCTCTACTTTTGCTTCAAGACTTTCAATTTTATCAATTAATTTACGCGCATTTTTAGTAATAATTTCTGCTATTTTCTGCTCACTTTTAGATAAATTATTCTCAACGTTTTCCATCCCTTCCTCTAGGATGTTTAGGCGTTGGATTTGTGAAATTTGTTCTTTTTCTATTTCCATATTTTTAGAGCGCAAAAAGACTAATTCATCTTTTAATTCTCTATCATCCATTTTATTTTCAATTTCCTTCATTTTTGTTTTGTTTAAATCATTATCAACTCCTAAATTAGATATTTCTTCTTTTACAATTTGTTTCAAATTTTTAAATTGATTTTCTAATTTTTCAAATTTTCCATCTATTAAAGCATTTATTTTATCAATTTCAGATGAGGACGAATTTGATGGCAAATTTTGTCCTTCAGAAATTTTCGACTCGATTTTACGGAAGTTTTTGCATACAGCCTCTTCAAAGCTGCGTAATCGAAATAATAAATTATTCCAATGACGACCTTCTTCAGGCGTAAAAAATTTATTCGCAAAATCTGATCCTGTTGTCTGTGTTTGATTTTTATCCATTTCCAAGATACTCCAGAAAATGTTTTCAGGGGCAGGAAATCCTTTATAGAGCTTTTCTGAGAGTGGAAAATCTAGTTCCTCTCTTTTTTAAACTGAGGATTGCACCCAGCAATTTCCTCTACTTTAACCGTTGCACACAGCAGGAGGATAGAGCACCAAGCAGTCTACCTCGTTTATTTTTAAATTAATTACGTGGGGTATTTTCCTCCCACAATTTCTCTCAACACTCTTTAGACCAAGCTCTTTTCAGGATTAGAATATCCTTCAAACAAATTCTTTTTCTCTCAAGGCTTTTACCCGGATTAAGTGGCACCAAAATGAACTAGGTTCAGTTCACTATCGGTTCGGTTCAGCCTTGGAAATAACTATAGTTCAGTTCAAATATTTATAAGTTAAAGTTAAAAATTTAAATATAAGTTCAATACAAGTTGAAAATGAGAAATTGAGGGGGAGTATATATAGTGATCCTAAAGTAAACAGAGATTGTTATTGTGAATTGACAGGTCAGAATTAATTAAATAAAATGGAAAACAAAATATAAGATAAGGATTTTTGGGTAAACATTAAGTCGGGAAAACTCAGTAAACCTTTTGTAAAATTGGAAGGTCAAGAGTTTATCATTTATTTATTTTTATATTTTGGGAAAAAGATAATTTTTAATTTGTTTATTTGCTGATGCGAATGCAGCAATAAATTTTTAAAAATTAAAGAAAAATCATTGGAGATAGAGCTCGTCAACCTGTCCAAAGAGAAGTTTGTCTATCATTCAATCACATTTACCATCGAATTTCTTTAATTATTGAAGATATGGAAGATTTAGTAAATACAAAAGAAGCAATTATTTTAGTTCAACAATTTATTCCAAAACATATGGTTAATCAAGAATTATATAATCCTTCAAAAGTTAACATTTATAATTATTTATTTCAAGTGCCTGATGATACTCGTTATATGGCTAGTACTACTTGGTAATTTTAAATATTATTTGGATATAAATATGTTAGGGTCGAATTTTAATCTCGTTGTTAGATTAATTTAAAAACGGACCTTGTTACCTAACAAATAAGACCAAAATTGCCTACGACAAGTATTCTCCATTTTTGACTTGACCTGTTTATTTTTATAAAATCTTGTATGAAAATCTGAGCTGCCTCAAATTATGTGTAACTTAGATAACAATTAGAATATGGTAAACACAAAAACCCTCTTAAAATTTCGAATTTCTTGGCAGTCCACAGTTTGTTGTTATTTTACACGCCCATCTTTCTCTTTCATGGGGTTGATGCTAATTTATTCCCCCTTTATTTTAACTTCTATAATTTTTACAAAATAATTTGAAGTTTCAAACATCACAATTTGGATAGATTAAATTGGAGTAGATTAGATTCAGAATTACAAACAGCAAATAGATGTCCTCATTTATTTACCGAAAAAATGAAATGTTTTTCTGCTAGGTATTTTTTGTTATTTATTTTTAAAATTAAAAAACAAAATTTATTTAAAGATATATTGTACTTCCTGATACAAGTAGAATTGCAAAAGAAGTTTTGAGCATTAGAAAGGCTGATATTTATCGTCCTTTTGCTTACCCTGAAGAATTGGAGAACAATTTTATTCGTTTTATTGAATGTAAAGTTTTCTATTGGTTTAATTTAGGGCTGACTTCTTTAATTTAAAAAACTATCAAGCATTTATGGATATACATATAGAAGCCTAAAAATAACTGGATTAGTATTTGGTTTTTTCCAGGCCTTGAGTTTTTTGGGTTAGATTTCCTGTGGACTGAAATATAGCCTATCTTTTGGGTATCTCTTTATTATTTGAAGACTTTGCTTAAAAATCTACGTGGATATATTCCAGCAACAGCTATAATTTGGCACATTAATAAGCTTTTTCCAAATAAATTTTCTTAAGCTTTAAACAAACTTAAAATATTTCATAATTTTTCTATAATTCTTAGGTGTAAATCGTGTCCGTAGCAATACTTTTCATTCTCAATGGAGTGATGGAATGTCTTCAAGACCAGAAACCCCATTAAAATATCATTTATCAGATCATCCAGGAAAAAGTTCTCCAACAGTTTTTGTTTTACCTCCAATAGAATTATTAGAATTAGATGTAGATATAGTTTTAAATGCTTGGTTAGAACAAATGGAACGTTTTCCAATATCAATACAGCCAAAAAATACACAAACATTTCCTCCATCAATTTTTATTTCTTATGATTTTATTTGTTGGCTTTTACGTTTTGTTAGTGGAATGGAATGTTTGGATGATGCTATTGGATTTGCAAGTAAATTGGTTAATGAAGGACGGATTAAATTATTACAGACACCTTCAGATTCTGAAAATTTTGGTGGGGAAAATTTTTGTTTTCTTAAAAAGTTTAATGGGTTTTTTTCGGAAGTTTAACTAGATTTAAAAAACCTGTTTGCGAAGTAAGATTTTAGTATTGAGATTTCTCGTGTTTTTGAGTCATCTATTTACACAAAAATATCTAGAACATAATTTAAATTTTTGGTAATTGATCTTTGAAAATTTACCCATTCTCTTTAAATCGAAGTTAGCCTTATCTGGGTATATTTTAGAGTTCACTGACGGTTAATCGAACTAAAAACTGTCGGTCGAAACAGTCCATAAGCGAAAGTCGTTGGTACCGGGTAGCTAACAACTCTAATTTATTTTTCTGTGATATTCTTTGAAAAAAATTCTTTATAAAATTTTTTAGATCAAGAACCTAAAAGAGTTTCTTCTTCAACATCTCATTCAACAGATTCTTATTCATTTCGTTATGGATTTTTCTTTTATTATATAATTAACACCAATTTAAATATCGATATTTCAAATATAGATTTACGTGGAAAGATTTATTTATCAATAGAAAAGCCCTGTTTATTAAATTTAATTGATAAAGAATGCCGTTTTAAACAAAAATCTATTACAATGGAATTTTTGCCTTCATCTTCTTTTGTCATTAAAAATTTGGAGAATCATTTTGTTGAATGGGGAAAAGTTTTTGTTGATAGAGCATATACACATTCACAAGCTTTTGAAATTAATGTAAGGGAAGAATACAGACATAACTTTTAAATAATAATTTTTAAAAAAAAGGTCAAATGGTTTATGGCAACAGGACAATCAGTAGCTGATTTAGTAAATAAACAATGGGCTAGACATGCACAAAAATATTTGATGCATTTCTTTCCGGCGCCAGAAGATGCTTTTGCTGAACCTACAAATGTTTTATCAAGTCCTTTAAGATGCCCAATTTTTGTTGCTATAAAAAGTGGTTTAATACCTGGGGGTTATGTAAGTTTTTCTTGAAGAATTTGGAAATTACCTATATTGTTTTTGGATTTTGTTTAACTTTTCGTTTAACTTAACGTCTTAGAATAATTTAATTATATTTTGGACATGGGAGAAACTTTAATGAAAAATGTTGATTAATATGTCGTTAAGACATCAAGTATCATAAAATATTTTTGGTTAAATCTAGGGTTCCCCTATATCTCCTTAGATTCCCTATTCTGTTTAGCTTTCTATATTTTCTATTTTTAGTTTGATTCAGTTTTGAGAGCAGTATTAGCATCTTTTGGTTTTATTCATTTAAAATGTCCAATACATTATAAAGAATATAAGGGAAAAACATTAACAACAAATATTTCAACAATTAATTTAAATTCCACAACATTTCCACCTATTTTTATTCAACAATTTGTTCATTTATCTGGTGGAATGTTTGTTAAATATGAGCCAGAACAATCTGCTTTTATGTGGGCCTGGAATCAAATGTTAACACAAAAATATAGAACCTCGTAAGAAAAAAATTTTAAATTAAAAAAATATTTGGGGTATTTTTATACTGATATTTTTTGAGAATTGCTGCCCCTGGAGGGGGTAATTCAAAGCTGAATAGAGGAACCAAGGACTTTTCATGTCGGTTCTTGATGGGGGTTTTGACTGATAAAAAATTTTTTAGAATCAGCAATAATCCTCCATATTTTGTAGAGATGTCCGAGACCGAAATTTTTCCAAGACTCAAGACCCAAGACAAAATTTTTTCCAAGACCAAGACACAAGACCAAGACCAAAACTCCAAGACTCAAGACCAAAAATCAAGACCAAATTTTTAAATCCCATAGGTCAAATTTTTGGTTTATTTTTTGTTATTTTGATACGATCACAGTCAACTTCAGCACAATTATCTATAATTTCGAAAAATTTATGCGAAATTCAAAGAATTTAGGGGAATTTATTCTGTGGAAAATCAATAAAATAGGTTATTATTTCAGAGGGTTTGGGTGGATTAACGGGATATTAGTGATATCAAAAGATTAAGAGGGATAGCCGTGGGATTTAGCGCCGCAGGCGAAAATTTTGAGGATTATGAAAGCAAAGAAGCCAAAAATCTTCCTTTTCCTGCGCCGCAGGCAAAAATTTTGAAAATTTTGGAAGGCCGTAGGCCAAAAAAATTCACATTTTCAGCGCCGCAGGCGAAAATTTTTTGAATTTTGGAGCTCAAGAAGCCAGATTTCTTCCATTTTCTGCGCCGCAGGCGAAAATTTTGAGGATTTTGGATGGCCAAGCACTAGGTCCAAAAAGGCCAAAAAACCAAGACCAAAAAATAAAACCAAGACAAGACCAAGACAAACACCCCAAGACCAAGACCAAGACCGAAAAAAAACCAAGAAAAGTCTTGGTTCCAAGACCAAGACCAAGAGTCTCGGACATCTCTAATATTTTGGTTGGGAGTGTAAATATGTAGTTTTTACTTTTTAGGAGTATGAGGGGATGAGATTTTCTTTTATCTTTTTCTTTTGAGTCAATAGATTTGTCATTTCCGAAAATTACAAAATAAAATTAGTATTTTAAATAATATTTTCTTTTAATTTTTAGTTGTTTTTCTGAAGAATTTTTGGATTTTACACTCGAAGATTTTCGTAATTTTTGTGCAGACAAAAGCAATAGATTAAAAAATTTTATTAGTAATTTTATTAAAAATCATCCTTTGGATTAATATTTTGTTATTTTTTTAATTATTTAACCCCCAAATAATTAACAAAATTAGTTGAGATTTAATAATTGTTAATTTTTGGGGGGTTTTTGTATATTAAAGTATTTATTTATTTTTAATATTTTTTTATTTTGTCAATTTTTGTTTAATATTTCTATTAAATATTTATTTTATTTTGCTTAATATATTTAACAATATATTTAGGATTTTTTTGTCAATTCTTTTAAAAATAAAAAAATGAAATATGCCCAATTAGTTATTGGCCCGGCAGGAAGTGGAAAAGTATTTTACAAGGATTAAATATTTTTATTTTTAAAATTTAGTCAACTTATTGTGCAACAATTCAAGACCATTGCAAAACTATTGGAAGAAATATTTTTGTTGTTAATCTAGACCCTGCTGCAGAAAATTTTGCTTATAATTGTGATGTTGGTGAGTTTTGTTTTTAAATTAAGATGGTTATTAATGAGTTTGGAGTGTATGTGTTTGTGGTGTAGTTGGATAAGTGCGTGTTTAGAGAGGAAAAGGTGTTGGTTCGACCCCGCTTTGTGCAGTTCTTTTTTTTTGAAGAAAATGGTCTATAAATTATACCAAATTGTCTTTTAACGATTCTCAAAAAAATTTCAAATTTTCTAAAAAAAATTTTTTTCTCATAGATATAAGAGAATTAATAAGTGTAGAGGATGTATTGGACGATAAAGAAATTAAAATGGGTCCAAACGGTGCTTTAATATTTTGTATGGAATATTTTGTTAAAAATTTGGAGTGGTTAAAAGAGCAATTACAGGAAGGGGAAGATGATTATTTTCTTTTTGACTGTCCAGGCCAAATAGAATTATATAGCCATTTAGATTTAATTCAACAAATTATAATTAAATTACAAGAATGGGAATTTAGTATTTGTAATGTTTTTATTTTGGATTCTAATTTTTGTTTGGATTCAAATAAATTTATTTCTGCAAGTTTTACAGGTAATTAAGAAGGGAAGAGAGTTTATATATTTTGTTAATTTTATGTCTAGTGTCACATCTTTTGGATAAACAAAATAAATCCTTAATAGTGGGGACTAAGGTTGTCTGTTTTTGGAAATTCTTTGGATATCCGGTTCGGTACAGATATCCGGTTCGGTACAGCTTTTAGGGCTTTTTTCAGTCTAGGTCTTGAGCAATGAAGAATCCTTGCCTTTTAGACCAGAAAATATTTATTTGTTCCTTTAAAATTTCCATTCTTGGGCATTTCTACTTGAAAGGGAATTTATATATGACACACAGTTTTTAGTTTATTTCTTAAAAGATGGCTGTTAATTCTTGTCTTTTACCACAAATAAACGGTCCCCATTAGTTTATTTGTGAAAAGTATCAGACGGTTAATTGTCTAAAATATAATTTTTCAGCCTTATCTACAATTGTATCATTTACAACTCCATCCATTAATGTTTTGAGTAAATTGGATTTATTAAATAAGGAAGAAAAAAGTTTTGTTAAAAATTTTTTGGAGGATGAGGAATTACAAAATAATTTAATTAATTGTATTGATGATGGACAAGTAAAAAAAAAATTAAATTTATTTTTTGAATTTAAAAAAATTTCTTTAAATATATTTTGGCCTTTTTTAAAATTAATTTTTAAACAAATAAACTCGTTGTGACCCGAATTGGGGAAATTCTAGGAAATGGATCTAAATAGTGAAATGCCTTAATATTTTATATTTTTCTCCATTAGGTAGGGGCTGATTTTTTAATATGAGGGGGGAGGGGGTTCGAATACTAATAAAAAGACGAATCGTTTTCAAAATCTACCTAGGTTTTTATCATACCCAAAAACAAAAAAAATATAATTATAATTAAAAAACCGTTTTTCGATTAATATTTTTTACAGAAAATATTTTTTATAATAAAATTTTAATTTTTAAAGCAACAAAAAGATAAATGGACAGAAAAATATTCAAAATTAACCCAATCATTATTAATTGTTTTGAATGATTATAGTTTAGTTAAATTTTTACCTTTGGATATTTCTGATGAAGATTCTATTCAAGGTGTTTAATTAATTTTTAAAAGAAAAAAATTATTTTTTTAGAACTTTTATCAGTTATTGATGTAACAATTCAATATGGAGAAGATGCTGATGTTAAAGATAAATTTCCACAATTTGCGGATAATTTGGATGATTATTCTTAAATATATATTTTTTTGTTTTGATAAAAATATATTTAAAGTTTATCTGTTTTTTAAAAACTTTTTTAATCATTTCTAAATAACTGCTGCTATCACACAACTTTTCGAATAAAAATTAAGTTTAGTTATTATTGGTGCTGGTGAACAAGTTTTAGTAATGTAGTGGGGAAGTTATGTGTTAGAGAAACAAATTGTGGGTTCGACTCCATTTGTTTTTAAAAAGAAATGTTAATAAATTACAATAAATTATTTTATAAAAATTCTAAAAAACAATTGTTGAGGATGTGTTATTATGTATCAGGGTTATTATCTCGAATTTTTAAAAACTAAAGGGCGTAGATATAATTTTCGCACACAACAAAATTTCGATTCGCCTCACTGAACAAAAGCATTAATATAATCAAACTCTTAGCGGGCGTTGTAGCTCAATGGTAGTCTGTTTAACTACGACAAAACCACTAGTGCGGGTCAGAACTTTCATACCTAAGTTACTGCAGTTTTTGCTAGCTCAAAAGCCTACCACTGAGCTATAGGCCCGCTACTTTGTTTCAAAATAAATTCATATATAAATTCATTTCTTTGGTTGTTAAAAATATGTTTTTTAAAGAATAGAGGTTAATCAAGATAACTGATATTTTAATAGTCTTAAGAATTATTTTATATGTATCTTTGACAATATTTTAATTAAAAACCTTTTATTTCTGTTCTTTTTAAACCTATCTTTTATTAAACACTAATAAATTTTTTTTAATTTTTTAAATATGTCACGTCCCGAACTTTTACCACCGTTACACACTACACACTGCCTAATTTATCCCTAATTTATTACTGTAGTTTTAGCTAAAAAAAATTCTTCAATAATTTATATTAAATTTCATTTTTATGTAAATATATTTACATCAATTTTTATAAAGAACAAAACCCCTTTAATAATTATATTTATAAATACATTTATAAGCAACCACATCGGTGGGCCTTGTAGTTCAATGGTTGTCTCTTCGACTACAAAAAAACTGGCTGTTAGATGGAAAAGTTTGGACCCGCTAAATTTTTTTCATTCTTTTTTCAAATTTTAATTGATTAATTTTTAAATTAAAATTTCACTTTTAAATGTACCTAAAATAGAGGTTAAAAGTTTAAGTTTTAAAAGTTTTTGACTAAACTTTAATATTAAAAAGGGGGGTATTAAAATAATTATTTTTATAATAAATAACGAAAATGTTTGTTTATATTTTTATTTAATTTTTTTATTTTACTTAAAAAAATTAATTTAATAATTTTTAAATTAAAAAAAGTAGCAAATAAATAATTGTTTTTATTAAGTAAGGGAAAATTGGAAAAAGACTAAAAGGGCATTTTTATTTAAAAAATATTTGCTTAAACTATTTTATTTAATTAATTGATGTCATTTAAATTAAATTTTAAAAATTAATTTTACTTTCAAAATATAATTTAATTAATTTATAAATATTTGTTTGGAGTACTCGGAATTTTTTAAATTTCTGATTTCCGTGACTAATTCCGATTTTCGACCGACTTTTCGGAAGCATTTTTATTTGATTTATTTATTTTTAAATTCAATTAAAATTTTAAATTAAACTTTAAATTAACTGAAATGAATACACTGCGGTGCATATGTTTATGCACACTTATTCAAAAAATACATTCTATAAAGCAATCGAAAGCTCTATTTGTATCTCAGTGGACTTGTTTCTGCATTTTCCATGAAAATGAAAATTGGCCGAGATAATCCGGATCTACCGGATATACCAAATCCCATATCCTCGGAAAAATTTTTCGGAAAAAATTTAACAAACCCATTTGATAAAGCATATTTTTGTGAGTATTCATCACAAAACCGCTTAGAAATATCTTTTTTCGGTCCAGAGATATGACTTTTTGAAAATCGAAAAAACGCGATTTTTTGACGAAAAATGGCAAAAATATGGTGTTTTTTCGATTTTCAAAAATTCATAACTCGGTCGAATCTCGACCGATTTGGATGAATTTTTTGTATTGTATGTAGAATCTGGAGATGAATCACATATATTTTTTACAGACTTCAAAAAAATTTTTCCGAAAAGTTGAAAATGTAGTACCTGTTAGACCGGTCGAAAATTTTTCGAAAATATCAGAATTTCGAAAAATGCAGAAACATGTCAACTGAGATACAAATAGAGCTTTCGATTGCTTTATAGAATGTATTTTTTGAATAAGTGTGCATAAACTTATGAACAAAAAACAAGTGTGCATAAACATATGCACCGCAGTGTAGTGTTTCGTGCATTAGACATTAGGACCTATAATTTTAAAGTATTTATAGAAGAAAACGTCGGAAATCGGAATTCCGATCAACCTCTAGATCCTACCAGACTGACACTCGATTTTCTACTATCATAACAACAATACAAAACAACAAATTTGAATAAATGTTAATTTATTCAAATTAAAGCGTAAAATGAATGTTTTCTTCTTTTAAGGACCAATTAGTATTTTAAATAAAAAAAATTTAGATAATTCCAATAATTATTTTAACAATTGTTTTTTTACAACACAAAATTTTACTGTTTTCTAACAAAAACAACAACTTTCCCTTTTAATGCCTATATGTAGTTTATAAATAAATTTATAAATTATTATTATAGCGGGCTCTATAGCTCAGTGCTAGTCTCTTTGACTAAGAAAGATCCTCTTGAGTTAGATGATATAACACAAAACCACCTAACAATAATTTTAACCCGCGATAATTTTTTCATTTTTTTTTCAAATTATTTATTAAAAAATTTTTTTAAATTTATTTCTATTTGTAAAACAATATTAAATTTTTTAAAATATAAAAATAGAAATTAAAAAATTAATAAATTCTCTCTATTTATATCTCCTGAAGGGATTGAAATTTTCAGTTTCGAGTGTACATAGAATTTATGTTCTAAATTTTCTTAACAAAATTTCTTTGTTAAAAAAGGGGGAGTATTCAAATAATTGTTTTGCATAATATTAATTATTTTATTTAAATTAAATAACGGAAATATTTACTTTTAAAAAAATAAATTTAATAATTTTTAAATTAAATAAAAGTAAGCAAATAATTGTTGTTTGTGGAGCAGTTGAAAAAGACTGAAAAACGTGGGCATATTTATTTAACAAAAATATTTTTCAGAATTTTAATTAATTGATGTCATTTTATTTAAATTAAATTTTAAATTAAATAGTTATTTTACTTTCAAAATATAATTTAATTAATTTGTAACTGTTTGTTTGGAGTATTTAATGAAACTGAAAAAGCTTCTAGAGATTAAATACATATTCACAAATTTTTTAAAAGAAAAATTTAAGCAATTTTGAAAGAATTCTAATAAAAAATATTTTAAAATTTAATTTTTTTCGAAAATTAAAAATATTTATTTCTAAATATTAATTTTAATTTTAAATAATGAACAGAACTGAGGTAACTTTTAAAAACCCCTTTATTTTTAATTTTATTATTTTTATACGTTTAATTCAGAATTATTATTTATTTTCTTTTATTTCTCAAAAAATTCTCAAATTTATGTCTGCCAAAAATTTTTAAAAAAATTTTTCGATCTCGGCTATGACTAATTCCAATTTTCAGACCGACTTTTAGGAAGCATTTTTCTGTTAAAATTTTTTTAAATATAATTTAAAAAAATTTCAATTAAAGATATACTACAAAAATGGCTTCAGTTGGCCTCTTTTATTTAGTACAATTCCAATTATTATTATTTCAATTCCCGGTATTTTAACTAATATTGTTCTTATTTGTGTTACAATTAAAAATAAGTAAATAAACAAAAATATTTTTTAAATAAATTTAAAATAAAATTTTTCTTCAAATTTAAAAATTAATCTAATTAAATTAAAAATTTTTTTTTGATTTTTGACGCTGGAGAGTATTTAATAAAGTTCCTGACTAGGATTGTTGATTCTTGGAAAATCTTCGGATATCCTAATCAAAATTTTCTGGATATCCTAGACTTTTATCAGATCAGATATCCGAATCCCGCCACCTATTCCTAAATTTGCTACCAAAATTTTTAAGTAACAAAAGAATAAATTTAAATAAATTTAAATAGAAAGAAAACAAAATTAACAAAATTATTTTATTAATTTAAAAAAATTATAATTTAAATTTAAGTAGTTTTTAATTTTTAGAGCTTTACACGGAACAACAAATTTCCTTCTAGCCCAATTAGCCTTTTATGAAATAATTCACGAGACTGGTTATTTCGTTGTTCTTTATTGTAATTTAATTGGACTTAATTCTTTAACTTATTCAAAAGCCTCCCGTTTATTTTCTGTTCCTTTATTTACAGTTTTTGGAATTTCTCCTTTAATGGCATTTACAGGGATTGACAGATTACTTTATGTTGTATTCCCTATATCTTTGTAAGTTTATTAAAATATATTTTTATGGAAATAAAAAACATACTTAATAGATAATTAGATTAACCTCACCAAATTTCGAAAAATAGTTTTTTTTTAATTTTCAAAAATATCAGAAGAAATATCAATTTTCCTAATTACATACGAGAGTTGCGTCGTAATTTCGAATTACGATTACGAATTTTTTAAATTACGATAATTACCTCCTCAATAATTTTTTTAAAAATAATTTCAATTCCCAAATTATTTTTAAATTTAATAGTCCAAAGAAAGTTAATCCAACAATTTATTTGGGTGTTTATACTTTTATTTGTGTTATTTATTGTGGATTGATGACTGCCGGATTGATTTGGTTTAATGATGTAAATCCTGATTTGGTGGTATCTGCTTTACTTAGTGACGTTTTAACAGTTGAGAGTTTTAATTTAAAAAATAATTGGATCTCAATATAGGACCGAGAAATCCTATCTTATAGGATACCCAGACTTTTTTCGATCTTATAGTGAGAGGTACCCAAATTTCAGTTAAAAAGATTCACTTAGAAACTCTATCCTGAGAAATCTCCGGATATTCAAAACTGATAACCGACCTAAAAAAGTCCAGATCAGACTTTTTCGATTCCGGAGACGCCAACCCAACTCTCCACCCAATAGTCAACCAACATCCAGTATTGGGTGTATTATGGCCTCTTATGACTTTTCCCTTCAATATATTCTTTATTTAATAGGGATATGTTGGCACAACTTTATATTACAATATAAGCTTTATTTTAAACAATACTACAATAGCTTTGTATATTGCTGTTGGTATTATTGTTAAAATGAGAAAAAGTAAATTTTTTAAATTTATTTTATAAAAAATTTATCCCCTCATTTATTAGCCTCAATTCAACAAAAAAATCGTCGATTAATTCGTGCATTAATTATTATTGTTATATTTAATGTTGGAGGGTTTTATATTGTTAGAATATTTAAATATTTTATATTATCTTATAAACTTTCTGAAATGAATAGTTTATTTATTCGAAAGGCTGTCTGCACTTTATTGTATGTAAGCATTACAGCAAATGCTCCTGTTCTTTATTTTATAAGGTATGTGTAAGGAAAGGGAAGATCCAAACATCCAAAATGTTTGGGGTCAAAAAAAGGAAAATCCAAAAATTAAGATCCAAACGACGTTCCTAAAAAAGCTCAAGTGGAGAGTTAATATCTGCTTAGCTCGATTTTCCTTGTTAGCTCAATTTTTGGATATCTAAAATCATGGGCGACGCATCTAGCATTAGCTGTCAGGAGGTCACAGGCTTCCAGGTTTTAACTAGCTATAATTTTGTTTTCATGAGTTCGTTATTCCTGCCCGGCTTCCAAACCTTTTTAATTACTAGTATTATTCTACATTAATTGCATAATCTCACTCATAAAAACAAAACTCGGAAATAATTAAGAATATTTTTTTTATTTATTTCAGCAAAGAATACAAAGCATCGTTTCGACGCTTTTTTGGACTTTCAACGAATCAGACCTCACCAATTATAATTATCAATAAACCTCCACTAAAGAACAATTTTGTATTAAATAACCCTAAAATATAAAATAAATTAAATATGTACTTTTCAATTAAACAATCATTTCTTGTTTTCAAATAATTTTAACAAAAAAATTATTAAAATTTTTAAAAATATCAAAGTGATTCAATTTTAAATTATTCCCCTCCTCCTCCCTTTTTATTTAATTATTTAAAAATCCATTTCCGATGTCCCCTTTTTATTTTGTGCTTCATACCAACTTTTACGAATTGTACGCTTCATTTCATCATCCCCTTCATCATACATTTGTTTCATCATATTCATTAAACTAGCTTGAGGGTCCTCGTCTTTGTCGAATTTTGGAGTTCTTTTTAAAAAATTAAAAATAAATTTCTTTTTAATTAATTTTGGGAGATTTTCAAGGTATTTTTGCCCTATTCCCCCCTTTAATTTTTAAATATGTAAATTTCTCCTGGATTTTGGAGTTTTTTTTCAAATTATTTTCTTTTCTCTCCTTCTTTACCCCCCCCTTTAATTTTTAAAATTTTTTTACTTTTGTTCCTTCTTGTCAATTTTAAGCAAAGATCCCCAATTTTCATTCTCTCTAACTTTCTTTAACATAACAAGCAATTGATCCCCACTTTTTTGTTTAAAATAACACTTGTTTGGATCAACAGCTAAAATAAAATTAAAAAAAATTATTTTTTGTAAAATATTTAAACAAAACCTTTAGACAATCCACGCACATTTATTTCATAATCCGTCCCATTAACATCAGTACAGAAAATGTCAAAAGAACTGAAAATAAATTTATTTATATATAAAAAACACTTTTTAGGGTTGTTGGCTGAATAGGATTCGAAAAAAGTTGGGATATTGGTTTCCGAATATCTGAAGATCTCCCGAGGTCCACCAACCCTGTTTACACATTTTCAAAAATATTCTAAATGGGTTTTACTCGGAAAATTTCATCAATATTAACAAGGTTGCGAAGTGTCCACCTAAAAACGGTCGAGACCGGGCTCATTCGATAGAATGTGCCCTTTCTAGCAAGGATTTTGTGCCGTTTTTGCCCGTTTTTTGATCTTGCCAAGTCCTTGCTAGAAAGGCACATTCTCTATCGAATGAGCCCGGTCTCGACCGTTTTAGGTTGGACACCTCGCAATCTTTTCTTGTAAATTTTATAAAAATAAGATCTCTAAACCTCTTATTCCGAAAACGAGTGGGTAAAAATCAAAAATAAATTTAATTGTTTCTTAGCTATAATTAAATCTCACAAGGGACTGACAGTTCGTGAGGTTCCCTTGTCAAATAAATTAATATTAAAAAAACAAACTTTTCATTAAATTTTTCTTTAATTGCTGTAACTGGTGTAGAGGAAATACCAGGGATTGAATAATAAATTTTAACAAATTTGCCACTTTCATCAAATCCTTAAAAATAAATAAAAATAAAAGAAAAAATAAAAACAAATAACCATAAGTTGTTAATTTTTTGTAAGGACGAGCAGCAACTCCAATTGTTTTAGGCACATCAGAGGTTATTAGATCGCGACGATTTAACTGTAAAAAAATATTAAAAATATTATATTTTTATTATAAAACATCTTTCATTATTACTACACGGATGGTATAATTTTTAAAAAAATTCTGCCTATAGTTCGGAAGGGTTACTTGTCAGGCACGTAATCAGGGGGAGGTTAGTGGGGGTTAAAAACGATTACTCCACGGGAATTTTCCCTGGCCACGTGCCTGATAAAATTATCTACGTCAATCCAAAATACTTTGAAAATTTTTGCCTATAGCTTGACCATATAGCTTTGTTTTTTAATTACAAAAAATAGAAAAAACAAAAACCTCATCCAAATTAGCCAACCATTTCTTCAATTGTTCATCCAAAAACAACTGGACATTGCTTCGTTTCGCCTGCTTTCGCAAAGCTTGTAACTCATCAATATCACTTTTTAAATCGGAGGCAGAAATTGGCATTTTAAAGATTTTCTAAAAAAATTTCCAAAAAAAATTTTAAAAATTAAAAATATTCTAATTTATAATTTAAAAATAAAATAGTTAAAATTCTTTTAAAATTAATCAGATTTATCTGAAGCAAATAAAACTTGTAAATGTCAAATAAAAATTTAAAATACACAAGGAAAGACAATCAACATGGCTATTCAAAAAATTAAACCAAAAAATTAAAAGTAATTTTTGTCTCTCCCCGGCACTTTAAAATAGTCGTTGAGGTAAAAAATCTATAAAAGGCAAAAAAATAAATTTAAAGGCAAGATTTACATAATTGTAAAAATGATTCAGATGTACTTGCAATTATAAATTTTTCATAAAAGAATTTTTTTTTGGAAAAATTATAAAACTTTCTAGAAATATTTTGCCATTTAAAAAGATTACTGAAAGAATACAATGTCAAATAAAATAAAAGGGACTTAGGGAAAGTGAATTACAAAATATAGAATTCTAGCGTGTCTTTTAATTTTAATAGTTTTTAAAATTTAACATATCTTTTTTAGCAATCCATTCATTCCCCATTTTCCCTTCAGACAAGAAAATCATTTTGTACCCACTCAATAACTGTATCATCTGGCTGAGATATTGAACTTCGCTTAATTTGGGGAAATTTCATTTCCGAAGCCACTAATCTTAAATGCATCTTTCCAACATGAACAACCCAACGGTCTTCTTTAGTAGAACTTTCAGTATTCATTGAGTCAGGTTGTAAATAACGATGAATTTCTATATCGGCTCTAAAATTATAAAAAAAATAAATTTAAAAAATAATCAAAATATCAACTAAAACCGCCGTTATATACAAAATAATTTAATTTAAATAAACCTGTTTCCAATTAAAACTTCATCACTCGAAAATTTAATTCCAGTCGTGTCAATTTCAATTTTTGGAGTACTTTTTTGAACAATTCCTTCCTCATGCACAAGTTTTATAATAACATCCTTTATATAAAATTTATCACCAGTTTCATCATCCACAACTGTTATTTGTACTTTCTTGTCTGTTGAATTTTCCACATCTAATTGTAAATAAGGTTTAAAAAATTAAAAAAAAGGAACCTGATGCAGGTGTTCCACAAATTGCAAATGTAGAACCGCTGTCATTTGTTAATAGTCCCTAGAAATTAAAAAGTTAAACTGAAATAGAAAATACGGGAAAAGGACGAGAAAATTTTGTGATAAAAAAAAATAAAATTGAAACAGGGAACCAACAAAATGCTTAAAAACTCATTAAACATTTAACACATAAGCTCCGTGAAAATTAAATTAAAACTCCGTGAAAATTAAATAAAATTTCCAATATAAAAACATGAAGGATTACCCAATATCCAACAAACCCAAAATATGTTTAAAAAATCACCAAACCTTTAAACTATACGAAGCTTCGTGAAAAGCAAGTCTAGCAATTCCATGCTCAACAATAGAAGTGTTAATACTGTCCATATTTCTATTAAAAAATTAATTAAAAAAAAGAACGAATAAAAACAAATATTATATTGAAAATTAACAATTCTAGAACTTTTAATAGAGAATTAAAAATAATTTATATCCAAATTTATAAAAAAAACTTTTAATTTATTTTTGTCTCAAATTCTTCCTTTAATTGTCTCTGCATTCTTTCATCAATTCTCGATTTATCCAAATATTCAAACTTTTTATCCTTCTTCAAATATTTAGTCTCTACAAAATACCCACAAGTACCAACAACACAGGCAATTGGAAAAACAATCCATCGAACGACTGTAGCCCCTAAAAATAATTTTTAATAATTGAAAATATTTTTAGAGTTAACCTGGACCAAAATAGCGACTAGTTAATTGTAATAATTGTCCTAACATTAATGTAATAATTTGGTAAATCTAAAAAAAATAAGGGACATTATGGCGCGACTGGTCTCGCGCAAGGCCAAAATTTACGAATATTGCAAGTCTTTAGATTTTAATTACAAATTAGGTAAATGCTAGAATTAACTCTGTGTTAGAACCAAAATATGTCAAAAATATTTTAAAATTTAATTTTAAATAAAATTTAATAAAAAATAACAAAAAAATACAAATTTAGAAGACCAACCCGATTTAAAAAGAAATGATAAAAAATAACTTCTGTCAAATTTTCTATAAATTTGACAGATTCTTAACCTCCAAAAAATTATTTTTTAAAAGAAAAACCTGTCAAGTCTTCTAATTTCAAAAAAACAAAAAAATTCAATTAGAATTCAAATAAACAAACAAAATAGCCGCAGATATTCTCGAACACACTTCCAATCGTTCAACTTCATGATGCCATTCAAAACTTCCCCAAACTTTGCTTTGAAATATTTTTTCCAAATTAGAAGCATTTACAGCTTCTTCAATACTCAAATAATTTTCAATTGCCGAAATTGTTAAAATTAAACTTTTTAGAGATTCACATCCATAATTAATTGCACAAAGTGAAGGAAATTTATAAAAAGACAAAAATTGTTTTAAATTTTGTTTGCAATTTTTTGAAATTTTTGGAGGCTCAAAAAATTCTGTTGTTTGTTGTAAATTTAATTTTAATTTAAAATTTATCCAATTAATTATTGGCAACCATTGTTTTTGTTGTTGATCAAATAATGATGTTTGGGAATTGGAAAAATAAAGTAAAGTGTCCGTGTCTAAATAACCAATCAATTTTTCTATCAGAGAATCACTAGTTTCTCCATGAGGATTGTCTAGAGCTTTAAAGTTAAAAAGAAATATTTTTAACTTTAAAACAAAAAATTTTTTGAAAATTAAAAAAATTTTAAAAATTCTGTTGGAATATAACGTATATTAATTATAGTAAAAAAATTAATTGAGGAAATCAAAATAAAAAAAAGACATATTAAGTGATATTTGTTCTAAATTAACCAAAAATATTTTCTGAATATAATTTTAAATCTTCACCAAAATTTATTGTTGGAAGCTTTTATTTAACTTTCGAAAGTTTTATAGTCTTTTATTAAAGACGAAAGCTAAAACCCCCACAAAAAAGGAAAAAAAGAGTTCTGAAAACCCACCAAAAGCAGAACATTTTCAAGTTTTTCTACAAAAATATACCAAAAATAACCCAATACTTCCCTTTTTATTAAATCAAAAAACTACTCACTCACCAGTAAAAGCCAATCCTAATAAATTTTTTTCAAAATTAAATAAATTTTGAATCAAAAAATAAACCTGTAAAATGCATACTTCCAAACCCTTCCTTATTTTTAAAATTCCATTCATTTGAAATTAATAAAGCCAAAAGTTCAGATTTAATTAAAAGAACATTCCCAGCAGGACTTTTTAAATAATTATTGTCTAATTTTATTACAAAATTGTTGTCATCATTTTTATCAACAAAAGCTTCTTTAAATTTTGGATTTAAATTTGTTGAAGAAAAAGGCAGAGAAGTGGATAAACAACGCCTTGAAATTGACTGAAATTATATAAAAATAAATATTTAAAATTTTAAATTAACCTGAATAACTCGAAATAAAAGCATTCAATAAAAATAAATATTTTAATAGAAAAAAATTCGTTAACTTTTTCTAAAAAATTTTTTAAAATTATTAAAATGTACATTTTATCGAAAATGTACATTTAGATTCTCTAAAATATCAGAAATCGGAAAGAACGAGAAAATCGTAAACCGAAAATAAGGGACACGTCCATAAAGGCGCAAAACTAAACGGCGCAAAAATTTCCCAAAATGGCCATTGAATCGATGTCCAGGTTTAGCTCGGATGGTGATCGTATCTTTTAGCGTTGAGAACAAAAAAAAACGGATGTAAAGGTCGGAGTTGGACAACATCTTGTGATAACAAAAACTATTTCGATCAACTCGTAAGTATAATTGCAAAAAATAACTGCGGGATTCAGATAAGCGGGATTTTCAACCCTAGGGGCTTGAGCCCCAAAATTAAAAAAAATTCGTTTATAAAAGATGAGTAAAAAATATTTATTTTAACACCAACCTAATCAAATAACAATTAAAAAGTCAATAAATAATTTGCGAAATATTTTTTGAATTAAAGCCTGTCAAAATAAAAATTATACTTTTCTATTCTTCCACTTCAAATCCCCTCATCATCATCCAAACGCAACTGTGCAGTCTCATAATTAGCCAATAAACGTTCACATTGTTGCAACTTGTGTTCCAATTGAGGAACAGATGAAGAACGAGATTTCTCATAATTTATTGCATCCAGAAAATCCCTCTCGCGCAATTCCAAGTTGATAACACGACGTTCCAAACGTTGCTTGTCACGTCTAAAAATATTTTTTAAACTTAAAAATTAAACAAAAAAACTTACAAAACCATAGAATTCATATGCTCTTGGAAAATGTCAAAGTCAGCAGGATTTTCCTTAGCAAATTTAATCATATTTTTGCGTTCAGCATCTTCCAAAACATGGCATTTCTCAATTAAACGCATTTTCTCGTCCAATCGCATAGAGAGTTCGCTGTTAACCATTTTTAAGACAGCTTAAAAGATTTGAAAAATTTATTCAAAAAAACAAAAGAAAAACAAACAAAGTGTTGGTCCTTGCAATTTATAACCATCACGAGAAATTGAATTACTCATTGAATTGTTGTAAGCAATTTTCGAAACTCGATTGTATTCCTTTTGAAGTTGGGCATGCCTTTTGTGAAGCAGAGCCAAATCCTTCTCAACTAGGTCCTTACCATCAATGACCTTTAAAAAATTTTTGTATAAGAATTATTGGATTCAAGGGTCGGTAATTCTGAAATTGAGAGGAAAACCTATAAGAAAACAATCTACCCCTATTTAAACATTCATTCCCAAAATTAGATATCTTATCAGAGAATGGGCTCATGTTAAAAAGCGGGAAAAGGACAAAAACACAACATAAAAAGCAAAAGGTTGATGGTCAAAACGAATTTATTTGGAAGGTTAAAAACAGCTAATCCTCTTTACTTAAACAAAATCTTTAAAACAATTCAAAACAACCTCAGCAAAAAGCGAATTCCCTTTCGCAGCAACAGGCATATCACCAGCAATTTGAGAATTCAATTGATGAACTTCAACCTCCAAATCCTGAATCTTCTCGCGCGAATTTTCCAAGTCAGTTTGTTGACATTTAATCAAAGCACGCATTGATTCTTGATCCGTAGCTGCTTGAGTCAATTCGGCTTCCAATTGCTTTGCACGGTCATCCAATTCAAAATTTGTAGTCAAAAGACGGCTAACCTCAGCTTTCATACTCGCCTAAAAATTTTCCTTTTTAAAGTTTAAACAACCAAAAACAAACAATTGTTGCCTTAAGTTCGTCCACTTTAGACTCCGCTTCAAACAATGCAGTCTCATTTCCAGCAGGATTTGGAAGAGATTTGTTCCTTTCCTCGAGCAATTGCTTTTGAACAGTACAGAGCTTCTCAGTCAAAGAGCGATTCTGTTGATTCAAAGCAGCCACCTCACTCTTAAAAAATAGGTTTGAACCTGATAGACCCCATTCATTCCTCGCCAAATTAACTCCTATATATCTACAGAATGGTCAGGCGTTTCTTTCTTCCATCCCAATTTCCCTTCTATGTTTTGCTTCCAAACACCCAAAACAATTCATTTAGATGGAAGTAAAGAAGGAAAACGTCGGAACATTCTGCAAACGCATAGGAAGAAACTTGGGAGAAAATTATGGGGTCTGTCAGGTTCAGCAAAAGATATTCAATTTATTCAACAAACAAAACCTTAACATTCTCATTGTTGGTCAAGAGACGCTGACGATGTTCTTCAAGCTCGAATATTTCTTGCTCCCTCTTTTCCAGCTCTCTGTCGCGCTTCTCCATCTCCTGTTCATAGTCGCGAGTGACTTGCTGATATTTGCGGTGTTCACGTTCATAACTAAAAATTTTATTTAAATTTTAACAAAAACTCCAAAAAAAAACAAACAGCGCTCGAAATTGCTCCAAGTCTGTTGCAAGTTTGGTATTCTTTGACGCTTCACTTTTGAGAAGGTTTTTAAGTCGTCGAAGTTCTTCTTTAATTTCTTCCGGATTGGACTCGTCAAATTCCGCAGAATCCTTTGATGACATATTTAAAAACTTTAACAAATCTAAAAAAAATATTTGAAAACTAATTCCAATACAAGAATAAATTCTTAAAGAATGAAAAATAAAAAAAAACATTTGAACTATCTTCAAATATATTTTTTCATATTCATAAACTTTTATCCCTAAAATTAATTCTTACATATTGATTTAAATTAAAGAAATTGTTGAGAAAATAAAAAAATGGAAACATTTGACCTTAGAAAAATTCGATAAAATTAAATGAATAATTCGCGCGCGAATTTTAATTGGTACGGCCCATTATGGTGCGGGCCGTTGGTCGCAACTGGTTTGGCGCGAGTCGGCTGGCGCAAAGCTTGCAATTTTCTTAAATCAATCTACATATTAGAGACCGGCGTGGGACGGGATCCACGTCCCGAAATCTCGGATAATTATTTTCGGGATTTATCCCTTGGGATCCCGTCCCGGCATCGGATCCCGATTCGGGATCCCAGAAGTTCGATTTTGCCTTACTAAAATAAAATTTTAATAGAAATTTAAAGTCAAAAAATTGTGCTTATATCGCAACACCGTCTTCGATAGCCTTGTCAGAAGCCTGTCTCTTTAAAAGCCTTTCTCAGCGGCCAGTCTAGATAATATTTTTTTAGAATTTAATTAAACATGACAATAAAATTTTAATCGAGATTTAAAGATATTTTTGAGGGTTACCTTTTATTGACATATAAGATCAACAACGTACATATACTGTAGTAATTTAAAAATTATTTTGTCTACGTCGAAAAATTGGGGTCACTTTAGTATGTGGGTGCGGGCTTTAAATTACAAATGTTATATCATTTGAAAGAGCTTGTCGAGCTGAGTCGAATGCCACCAAAATTAGATCTAGGAAAAATTTTTGAACCGAGATACAGGCGATTGAAAATCGAAAAACCATAGGGGGGAACAAACACTTTTTTGGTGTGAAAAATTCGAAAATGCAAATTATACCTCATTCGAAAGAGCTCGTCGAGCTGAGTCGAATGACACCAGAATCAACGAAATCCGACTTAAATGGACCGAGATATAGACCCCTAAAAATCGAAGATCCAAAAGGGCGATTTTTGGAATAAAAAATTTTTTACACAGATAATACCTCATTCGAAAGAGCTCGACGAGCTGAGTCAAATGACACCAAAATCATCGTGATTGAACAAGATTAGACAAAGTTATGATACAAAAAAACCTAAACCTATGAGCGTCGGCGAGGCGCTTGTGCAAAACCCCGCGCTTCGCGCGGGGTTTTGCGGCACGCGCCTCGCGGGGAGTCTACGGGCGCTGGGTCTGGGCTCGTAACATAACCCTATTCCTAAATCCCTTGCTCTGGACGTATTTGGGGCCTCCGTAGCAGCAAAAATCTCAACAAATGCCATAGGTAAGGAGCTAAAATAAAAGATCATAACTTTTTCCAATCAAGTCGGATACCGTGATTTTGGTATCATTCGACTCAGCTCGACGAGCTCTTTCGAATGAGGTATAATTTGCATTTTCGAATTTTTCACCCCAAAAAAGTGCTTGGTCCCCCCTATGGTTTTTCGATTTTCAATCGCCTGTATCTCGGTTCAAAAATTTTTCCTAGACCTAATTTTGGTGGCATTCGACTCAGCTCGACAAGCTCTTTCAAATGATATAACATTTGTAATTTAAAGCCTGCACCCACGTACTAAAGTACAGCCCCTTCAAATGACAAATTATTGTGCCTAGAGGAGATAAATTATTAAAAAAAGAATTCTAAAGCCTAGCACCACCTGGGAATTTAAAAAGATATATAAAGAAAAAAAAGAATTTAGAGAAAGCTATGAGAGGTATTTGACGTGATCCTTTTTTTAATCAAATAAAAGGTTAAATAACTAAAGTTTAGTCATCATTATTTTCCTTCCTTTCATTTTAAATTTAAGTTTAAAACTTTTTTTATTTGATATTTTGAAATGTTTTTTTGTGATTACTCAAATATTTTTTAGACAATTCTTCATTGAAAATTTATTTCAAAATATTTTTAGATAATATCGTATTTACTCAATTAATTATCCAAGGTAGGGAGTGGATAATTAAGGTGATTTTAGAAATGGTGATTATTATAACTTTAAGGGAGTTATTACGAATCCCTCTCTTGATGGAAGGGTAATTAATAGTGTGTGGGGGGGGGGGGGTTATAATTATCTGAGCGAGGGGAATTTGTAGGTACAATGAGTAAGTACTACATACAATACAGTAATTATCTCCCTTCCATATAATCAGGTTTTATTATTAGAATTTTTGGAATATCCGGTCCCTTTTAATAAAAGATATCCTGATCTGTCATTAGCATTTTTATGATTCTTAGTTGCTATGATAATCTTCTTATAAATACTTACAAGATCCTTTTTTAGAAAATACTTTTTTTTTAATTTAGATATTTTTAATGATTTTTTTTAAATTTTTAAAAAATAAAATTCCCAAATTATCCAAAAATCAAAAAAAAAAATCAAAATTAATTAATATCCTCTATCAATCAGTAATTGATCACCAAAAATAACCAATCAACACAAATCGTTGTAATCATCCCTTTTTTCTCTTTAGGAGAGCTTTTCATCGTTATTTAGCTGTTCCCATTACTCTCGACGACGTAAAATAAAATATCGTTCCCCTTACTTTTAACTGACGTTTTTTGTCCTTCGCCTCGTCAAATATTTTTGTTTAATGCAAAAAAGGAAGTTAGCGATATATTTTAGTAAATTACTCTAAATCGACTTTTAATTCTTTAAATAAAAATTATTTTTAACGGAAAACGAAATTTCGGTTTTTGATTTTTGAATAGTTTGGACTAGGGTTGTTTTTGATTCGGTTAACTGAAGAATTTGGTGAACCGGAAACCCTAGGTTGGACTAATATAATTCGAAATAATTAACAAAAAATAAAAACAGGAAAAAACAAAATTTCAACACTAAATCAAAAAGTTTTTTTCTTCTTTTTAATATAAAGTAGAGGTTGGTGGAGGGTGGAGGGAAGAGGAAGGATATATACATACTTTAAAATATTTTCAAAATTGTTTTTTTAGGTTTATCCAAATAGGAAGAGAGAGATTTTTCCATTTTTAATTTTCAATCAAGTAAATGTTACAAAAAAACTAAAATAAAAACAAACAAACAAAAAAACATTACCGCAATACTAAAAACTTTCCCCCTTCCCCTTCCCCCTCCCTCCACCTCCCCCTTCCACCTCCCCAATTCTCTCATTCAATTTGCCTACCTATAAACCAGTATATTCCTCTATTCAAACATAAAGGTACTTCCCGTTAACGCGCAATTTTCTTCAATTTTCATCTTCACTCCTCTTTTTTCCTTTTTCTTCAATTCTCCTTTTTTGTCCTCCACCTCTGTCAAATTAATTATTTTTATTTTTTATTTAATTAATTTCTCTCGAAAATTTATATAGCTATAATATATTTGCATTGGATAATTCTTCTTTAGTCTTTCTTTTTTTAATTTTTGAAGATTTTTTGTAAATTATTACAAAAAATATTTCCTGGCCAAATTTATTTTTTTTGATTAATTTCCACATTAATTAATCAAACTTTAAATGCAAGAAAAATATGTGGACATAAATAATTTAAATATATCCTTATGGGGATATGTAATGGGATATTTAGAATTTCAGACTATTTTTTAACACAACAGGCATATTCCAACTGAAGAATATCCTAAAAATATCTGGTTTTTATGTCTTATCACAAAGTAGAGGCTATCCAATTTTTTTGTGAATACTCCTGAAAATTTTTATACCAAAAAATTAACATTAATTATTGTTTTTCTTTTGGAAATTTTTAAATTAGGGATTAAAAATTTTTTTTAAAGACTCCGAAATTTCAACATTTCTTGTACTTTTTACAAATCTACATATTATTTTAAAATAAATTTTTTTAAATTTATTAGAAAAATGTTTGTACTTTCATTGGGTAAATGGTTTGGCCATTTTGCTGTTAAAAGGAGAGAAGAAGCAGCAAATCGAGAAAAACAAGCTTTATTAGAAAAAGAGGAAAATTTAAATAAAAATAATCAACAATTTTCTCCCGTTAATTTCCAATTTAATTCGAGAAAAGTTTTAAAAGAAAATTTTGAAAAAGAAATTGAGGAGGAGGAAGAAAATGTGGAAGATGAATCAGAATATGAAGAAGTAACAGATAATGAAGAAGAAGTAACAGATGAAGAAAGTTCAATTTCCTCAGCTTTTGCCGAATTTAGAATTGGAGGGAATGGAAGTATTTTAAATGAAAATGGAATGATTGGGGAAGATACTGATGATGATGAATACGAGACTAGTGTAGAAGAAATAATACAGTTAAGGGTTGAAAGTAGGTATATAATAATTTGGAATTAGAGTTGGTAGTTCCGGATATTCGGAAATTTCCTGTTAGCCCGGATATCCACCTCAAATCCGGATATCCAGCGAGTTTCCAGGATCCGCCAACCCTAATTGGAATTAATAAATTGATATTACTATAATTTCTGTTAAAAATTAATGGATGGGGACAAACTCTTCAAAAATAAAACTTCTCAACATCTACTAGTAGATGTTGAAGTATTAATTATTTTTTTTTAAGTATTTTTATATTGAATATATTAGCTATTGGATCTCGATCAAAAATCTTGGTTATCTGTTCTCCTCTATAGTTCGGTCCCCACTATACTTAGGTATACTAAAAACAATTCAATTGTGCTTATTTCGAGCTTCAGACAAATATTTTGTTACGTAAATAAAATAAAATTTACTTCCCCTTAAAATTTAAAATTTTTGGTTTACCTCTCCCATTATTTAAATAGCAATTTTTTAAAATAATTAATTAATCACTTAAAATAAAATAGAGTATCCTGTCAAATCGCCAATAGAAGAGGCTAATAATAACAACAAAAATATATCCTCCACTTCAAATTCACCATTATTAGACCACACTCAGCCACAAGCAGTTGGTGCTACCGTCAAAGCGGTCATTCGTACCATTCTACGGAGTGGGACTGAATTGGCAAGAATTAAACTAAATAATCTGGCCGAGTTTAGAAAAAATGAGGTAAATTTAATTAATATAGGAAATGATTGAAGAGTTGAAGTTAATAAATTACTGTATTTACTGAGTTAATTAATTTGGTTTTTTTTAAATTCCTATTGAGTGGGAAGGAGTAAATAATGACAAAACAATTTTTGTTGAGGGATTTCTGGGGATCCCTTATATTTTCTAAATAACTAAATAATTATTAATCTTCTCCCAGGGACTCTAATAAGCCGAGATTTCTAGCTAAAGCGGTCAGTGTAAAATCCTCTAAAGCTTTTTCTTTATCCATAAGAAGTTAGTAGTTAAAAGTAATATATAGCTTATTTCCAATCAATTGCTATTTTCCTTAGTATATTTTGATCAGTTTATTTTTATTTTTAAAATTTCTTTTTAACATTTAGGAAAATAAAATAATTGAAGAATTAAAGCCAGTAAATTCTTCTGTCCTTTTATCACCAATGGAAAGTGAAGAAGAATTTAGTGAGGAAGAATGGGAAGAAGAAGAGGAAATTAAAGAAGATGAGGAATCTTTGAATAAAGGTTAATAAAAGGAAAAATATTGAAATTTTATTAACTTAAATTAGGCTTAGTTTACTTTGATTGTTAAAAAATATGTATTTTAGGCAAAACATACATGCCATTAAGAATGGGGGAATTCGAGTAATTAAAAATTATTTTAAAAATGCCCTTTAAAATCACAAATAATAAAAATTTAATACTTAGGTTGTCAAATAAGTTTTGAGCCCCCACTTTAGTTAAGCTTATTAAATAATTATTAAAATTTAAAATATTTTTCTTTATGATTCTAAGGTTGTTGGGGGTATATAAGTATATTAATAAAGTATATTAATTTAAAAATCAAAATTTCAGTAAATGAAATATCCAAAATGGCGATTAACAAGCAAATTGATGAAGATTCTATTTCGATTTATAGCGACGCACTTGAAGGGCCGCCAGATTTAATTACAATAATTTCAGTTAAAAATGAAGAGAAAAAAGAAATTATTGAAATTAATTCGATATTAGAGGATAATAAAAGAGATTATTCCTCTCCTTTGCCGATATTGAGGAGGGAAATTAAAATGCCGGTTGAAAGATCTTTAGAGGTAAAATTGAGAAGTGGAAGTGTAAAGGAAGAGAAGAATGGGGAAGAAATAAAAGAAGAGGTTGATGAAGAAGAAGAGATGATGGAAGAGAAAGAGGAAGAGTGGAAAAAAGAGGAGAGTTGTGATTATTTGAAGAATATTGAAGAAGAGGAGAAGAGGAAGAATTTGGAAGAGAACGCAGGAAGGAAATTGGAGGATGAAGAAGAGGAAGAAAAAATAAAATTGGAAGATAAAGAAAAGATAGAAAATGGGTGGATTGAAGGAAGAAAGGAAAAAGAATTTAAAAATGAGGAAGATGAAGAAGAAGAAGAAACAATTATTGTTGAATGTACTGAGAAGGAAGATAAAATAACAAGTTCGGGTGGGGAAATATGCAGCATGGCGAATAGTGAGACAACAGATGATGAAGAATTTGAATATGAATATATTACAGATGAGGAAGGGGAAATAATACAAGTTGAGGAAGGGAGTTTAAAAGGAGAAAGGTTGGAAGAAAAGGAAGAATTGGTAGGAGAAGAATTTGAAGAAGAAGAATATGAGGAGGAGGAAGAGGAAGAAGAAGATTGGGATACTAGATCGGAAATCTCTCAAGTAGAAAAAGAGATTGAGAGAATGAGAAGAGTTAGTGTAGCCTCTTCAATTTCGAGAACCCCTGGCTACAGTAATTCTGAGATTGGAGGTAAACAAACTAATTACCTTAGATTTAGAAAAATTAATCTCTCAAAAGTAGTGTTGGTGCTACCGCGTTACTACTGATAGTACGAATTCGTAAATTTGGGTGCTACTTTGGGTATTACTGGGGCACCTTAAAAATCCATTTACCAAAAACACTACTCAAAATATCACTTGTCATTAATATTAATTAAATTTTAGTTTTACTAAATTCTTCACAAAAGCAATGTGAAGTAACCGAAAATGATGATAATTCACGTGAGAAAACACCAATAGCTTTGGGACAGGAAAGGCAATCTGAATATAATATTGTGGCACACGAACTTGTAAAAAATGTTCAGTGGCCGTCAGTTCAGCGACGTACTGCTTTAGATGAAGTGAGAAAATTTATTAAATCACTAAATCTCTTTATGAGGGCATTATAAGGGTAAAATTATAAGGGTAAAAAGAATACTTCTCTTATAAATAATTTTTCCATACTTTAAATTAAAATAAAGTTAAGCATTACTTATTTAAAATGTTAATCTTTGAAGTTTAAAAGCTAAATAGCATTACTAAATCCCTTTCGTAACGAAAAAGAGGTCAGTTTAAGGATGACCTCTGATCATCTCTCATTAATTAATGTTCAAAACAGAATTTTAAAAGCTGCTTTATTTATTTTTATTTTTTTTCTGTATTCTATTAATCACGGGGAACAAATAAAAAGAAAATAAATTATTCTAAAAATTAGCTATCAATAATTAATTTATTTGTTAATATATTGGTTATTCAAGTCTTTGTCTTATCCAAAAGACTTGGATATAAACGAAGAGACGGGGATATGTGCCATTCAAAAATATATCTTCATCAAAAGTCCTTTAATAGAGAAATATCTAAATTTAAATTCTGAGACCAATTTTATAAATTTAATAGAACGGGGTCTTTAATCTTAAAAAATATTCAAAAATTTATATTTTAGTCTCGAGCTTCATCATCTTCCCTTCTTCATAATTCATTCCAGCCATTAAAAGATCAAGAAGAAACTACCGAATCCTCACAATTAAATTCAAAAACTAATCAAAATACCCCTAAACTATCAACAACAACCAAAATATTATTACCCCCATTACATCCTTCTACTTCCAAAAATTCTTCACCTTCTTTTACTTTCGATTCCCCCTTAAATAAAGAGGATTGTCAAAATAATATATCAAAAAAAGAAATAAAAGAAGACTCGGTAATAAAATCACCAATGATGGATGAAGCTGCTTTTACGCGTTTAACTTCGCCTTTGAGCAAAGAGATAAATTTGGATGTATTTTTTAAATAAAAATATTATTAAGTGAAAATTAGGAGGAGAACCTATTAAAACTATTTATTAAACAGAAAAATATTTTAATCAAAAAATTCAAAAGTTAATCTTAAAGCACGGGGTAAAAAATAGCAGAAAAATTAGCGAAGTCATTAAACTCTTTCATAATAATTTTAAACAATATTTAATACCATTCACCCTAGACAAGCTGATTGGAAAATCTTTTAGATCGGTTTGGGGTCGGAAAAATCCGGGTTCGGGAAACCCGTGACATTCCTGATAATTCAATTTTGGTATCATCTGTTGCTAAAAGATGAGTTAACTCTAACAATACCAAAATTGTTCAGATCTGACTTTCACAAAGTTCTGTAGTTGATAGGGGAGTAATACATAGATGGATGTTTATTATTTTTTAAAATTACCTAATAATCCTTTCGCCTACTTTTTTAAAGGTAAATAAACTATCAAGATCAAAAATTGAAGTATTCGAAAATAGCAATAATAATTCATCTTCCACATATAATAAACAAAAACAGCAACAATTGCCATTTACAAATAAAAGATTCCCTCCCTTACCAAGACATCCATTAATTGCCAAATATTGCCCCGAATTGACAACAAAAAATGAAAATAAAAAAACAAATAAAATTGAAATATTGGAAGAAGAAGCAACAAAAAAACAAAAGAAAAAAATTGAAGAAGAAAATAAACAAAAACTTTTATTGCCCCAACAACCAAAGAATTTTTTAAAAATGGAGACAAGTATTGCAAGTGGTGGGGCTAATTATTTACGTGATCCCTGCTCTCATATGGTAAATATTTTAAAAAATGGAGATGGGCTTTTTCGGGATATAAATCCTAAATGGCCATTACCTAGAGATCAGAAAATTAATTAAAAAATCAGACTGACTTTTTGTTAATAACGGGAGTTACTGGAATACTGTAATAATATCTGAAAAAGTTTCCAAAACACCAAAAAAATTAATTTTAACTAAATAAAATAAAGGATTTATTCAAAATCTCTTTCTAAACACACAAACTACTAGTATTTTTCCAAACTTACACATGGATACGGATACATGCGTGAATATCCGCGGACGGATTACTTATAGTTAACCAAAATCCGTGTCCATTTGCAAGTTTGGTATTTCCTGGTTTTATTTTACTTGAATAGATATTTTAAGTTACCTTGCTTAGAAAAATAAAATTTATAAATAAAAAACCCCAAAAAATCTTTCCAGGTCCTCACAGATGTTAATGGTGACCATGAAGGTAAATAAACAAAAATTATTATCAAATATTTTTTAAAAATTATTAGATCCTCGTGATTATAGAAGAGGAGGTTATCACCCTGTCCGTTTAGGAGAATTATTTAATCGCCGGTCAGATAATTTTGTTTTATTTTTTATTTTATTCTATAAAATTTAGTTATTTGGTACTAAGAAAACTTGGGTGGGGACAGTTTTCGACTGTTTGGATGTGTTCAGATGCTGGAACTACAATCGAAACAGAACGTTATGTAGCTCTAAAAATTGTTAAATCACATAGAGATTTTACTGAAGTAATTGAAAAAAGAAAAGAAAAATAATTTTTTGTCTTTTAAAGGCAGCAATGGATGAAATAAAATTACTTAAAGCTGTTCGAGAAACTGATCCAAGTGACGAAGGAAGGCAAAGAGTTATTCAATTATTGGATACTTTTAAAATTATTGGGGTTAATGGAACTCATATTTGTATGATTTTTGAGGTGAATATTTAATAAAAAATTTAAGAAGGGACGAGGGGATAATTAGAGTTGGCTTGAGTGCTTTTTTGGTTCCGAAAATTGAGCGATTCAGCGAGTTTGGTTCCTTCCATAATGTTTAACGGAACTGAGAAAACACTTGAGTTAGCCTCATAACAATTATTGTTTTGGATCTGTCCGAGATTTACCAAGGTCTGCGATCACAAGCATAACATTATTCAAAGTAGAAAATTACAACCTAGGCGATAAGATGAAGGGGATTAAGGAATTGTCGAACTAGTATGATCCAACTAGACTGACAATGACCCTGGCTTTTACACCTATCATATGTAAATCGACTGCTTATGCATACAGCAACATCATTACACAAAAATAATTATTAAAAGTTCCTCAAAATTTACATAAATTTAGCCTTCAGACTTATAATTTTGCTCTATTTAAGGTATCAGGTTGCAATTTACTCAAATTAATAATTGACAGCAACTATCAAGGACTTCCCTTACGTCAAGTAAAAAGAATTACCAGACAGATATTGCAAGTAAAAGAATTTTTAAACTTTAAAAATCAAAGCCTAAAAATTAATTTTCAAAGAAAATCGGGAATTTACTTGGCTAGATCCCTGGTATCTGTTGCCAAATAAAAGAACATCCCTAATTTTATATAATAATTTTTTTTCATTAGGGAATGGCATATTTACATGATCGTTGTAAAATTATCCATACAGATATAAAACCAGAGAATGTATTAGTAGCATTAAATTCCCGAGATGTTGCTAAAATGGTTAATAGAATAAAAAATAATGAAAGAAATAATTATGACGAAAATTTGGAATTAAATGAATTAAATGTGAAAATTGCTGATTTGGGAAATGCTTGCTGGACTGTAATAATCAAAATGAAAATTATTTTTAAATTAAAAATAATTTGTAGTTCCATCACTATACAGAGAATATCCAAACTAGACAATATCGAGCGCCAGAGGTTTTGCTCGGAACTGGCTTTGATACTCCTGCTGATATTTGGAGTGTGGCTTGTATGGTGGGTGTTGATAAGTATTTGGGTTGACTCTGGATATATAAACTTTCCCCAAGTTGGAATTAAGTACATATTTAGGTGTTGGTTTTGAATTTGTTTTGGGGGTATCGTTAGCAGGACTGTCCACAATCAGAAAATTTCAGTAACCACAATCTGCGGTCTTTAAGTGCAAAACCAAGACAAAACGGCACTTAAGATCATTATTCTATAACTAGAGTCAATTCTAATTCTTATTTTGTTAATCCATCAATTACTCATTTAATTTCCTTTTTATTAGACATTCGAATTAGCAACAGGAGATTATCTATTCGAACCACACAGCCACCCCTTATGGAGTAGAGATGAAGACCATTTAGCCCATATTATTGAGCTCCTCGGGCCTTTGCCTACAGAAGTGTTTAAACGTGGAAGATTTTGGAAAGATTTTTTTCATAGAGTAAGGATTTGTTGTTAACTTATTAATTACAAAATTTTTTCCAGTCTGGTCGCCTCTTACGTATCCCAACTTTAAGACCTTGGCCATTAATTGAAGTACTTGCAGATAAATATTCTTTTAAACCAAAAGAAGCTTTTTCATTTTGTAACTTTTTATTGCCTTTGCTGGAATTGGAACCTGAAAGAAGGGCAAAAGCCGCAATTGCTCAAAATAATGAATGGCTTTTATCATAAAAAATAATGGCAATAAAATTGTATTGTGTAAATGATATAGATATTTATTTTTTGAGAGAGATCTCTTCTGATGAAAATTAAAAATAAATTTTGTTGTTTTTTCTGCGTTTAAATTATTTTATAAACAATCTAGGCGCGGAACCGTTAATTTAAAAAAATTAGCAAAAGCAAGGGAGTAACGGTAATACCTTCAGTTTAGCCCGAAATATTTTTAGAGCGAGGATTTAGAGGAATTTTAGGCTTATTTTTTACCGCAAATACTCGAATAATTACTCTCTCTCAAATAATTACCCTTTTTAATAATTACCTCTTATTTTTCCTACACTAATTTGTAAAAAATTTTTTTGACAATTTTAATAATAGAACATCTTAAGGATCAATATTTATAAAAATAAGATTATGTGAATTAAGAGAGTTGTCGAGGGATTAAGAAGGTTTGGGTATATGTATAATCATCCATGTATACATGGGAGATTAGGAAATTTTAAAAGAACCCTCTGATACTATTCCCTACTAGGGTTGGACACGACCGGTTTTAATGCCGGAATTTCTGAGATATTTTGCCAAAAATTAATCGGTTTTATGAAATTTTAAAAACCGGAAATTTATGAAAATGAGTGATTATTTAAAATTCCCCTATAATAAAAAACCAGGGGTACCGGTTAATAACCGGTTGTGTCTAACACTTTTCCCTACCCATTGAATTTTAAATTAGCGCTTATGAATTTTTCGTCATTCGGATGGGAGATTCTTGATTGAAGATAAAAAATTGAAGGATTAATTTTCTACTAAAATTAATTTTTTATTGCATTATTTTCGGTGGTTTCTCCAACATTTTTCCAACTATTTTCTTTTATTTGAGATAATAAATATGCTAAATATTATCCGTTTTGTCTGATAAAAAAATAAAAAATAGGCAAAGATCGGACGAGTCAAAAAATTTGGTTTACACATGAAATATATTATTGCGATTATTGTGTTTTCTCGAAAGGAGTTGTTGTCTAAAAAGGTGTAGTCTAGAATATCGAGGATATGTAGTCTTTTGAGAAAATACCTGACCTTTGCTTATGAGTTACAGATAAAATGGCGAATGAAAATTTTGAATAATTTTATAAAGATTTAATACAAAGAATCTAATTGTAAGCATTATCAGCTTTCTAAATTTTTTTTAGTTTTATTGTATTATTCTTTTTCTGATTTTTGTTTTGTTACAATTTTAGTAAATTCTGCAGGTTGGTCTGTTACAAAAAACCAAAAGAAAGTATTTGCCTTTAAAAAATCAAAAATATTATTTTTGGTAATTCTGATTAGGGCTGGCAGTTCCTGTCGAATTTCCTGATATCCAGAACCGATAATCGAACGAAACATTTAGGATACCCGTAACCCCTCCCCCCCTCCTTAATTCTAATTTACCACAAAAAGTATTATAGCCATTCCAATAAAAATAATTCTCCATTGTTCTCGATTACTTTCATCTTGAACGAATAAAAGAAATAATAATGGGGAAATAAAAAGTGTGAAAGATTTTTCGAATTGTATACCAGCAACAACAAAATGGGCATATTGCCTAGAAGTTTTTTTTGAAATTTTCTATAAAATATTTTTTATAACCGGCTAATTAAAGTTGCACATTTATAAAATCCCCCACAATTTGCAGAAACAAAAACATAATTTATAGTCATTAAAATAACTGCTAAAAAACGTTTGTCATCTGGAACAAAACCAACTAATGCAAAAGCAACGGCTGAGCCTACGAGAGATATTGAATTAAAAAGGCGCATTCGACCAATTTCATTCATAAATCTGAGAGAAGAATTACTACCGTATTTTCTCGATTAACCCCCCCCCCCCCTCGAATAATTTCCCTCCCTCGATTAATTCCCCATACTAAGGAAGGGTTGAAAAATAATTCCCCAGTAGAATTAATCGAAAAAAATACGGTATATTATTTTAGTAGCTATATTAAACTTCAAATCATGTAGAGATCGGACCCAAAGGGTTATATGAGAATTGAGATCGATAACTCTGAAAATAACGATCTCGCTATGCTAGATTTTATTTCGATAGCTCGTTTCAGTCCGGCTCCAGTAAAATAAAACTTTAATACATATAACATTTCATTCATTACCTCATATTGTCTGATAAATATCCAGAACAAAATCTAAACGGAATAAATAAGAGTGCCGGTAAAGCACTCCAAATACCAGCTTCTCTAACATCATAATGAAGAACTTTAGAAATATAAGTAGGTAAATAGGTCATTGAAAATACGGCCGTGATAATATCCGCAAATGAATTAAGCCAAATAACGAGCACAATTTTATTTGTTAGAATTGCTCTAGAATATTTAAAGGGGAAGGTTTGGGAGTTTTCTTAATTTTTTACCGATAAGGCATAAATCCACTAAGTCCAATTTCTGCCTCAGTTTTGCCTGATAAAATTTGATCCTTTTCACTTTGACTAACACACGAATGAGTATCAGGATGGTCAGTGTAAAGAAATAGCCACAATCCAAAAAGTATTGGAGAAATTAAAGCTTGAACTAAAAATTAAAGAGAAAGTATAGTTTATCTAGATTTAGACTAGAGTTGGGCGGGATCGGGATCCCGGTCGGGATCGGGCGGGATTATCCCGGTTTTTTTGAATCCCGATCCCGATTTTTCTGATCCCGAACCCGAAAGACAAATCCCGATCCCGGTTTTGGCCGATCCAGATCCCGAGCCGGGATCGGGACCGGGATCGGGATTAGCAATCGGATCCCGATGAAATCGGGATTTTATAAATTAATGAAAATATATATTAATGAGCTGAAAAGAAAGCAATTTGGCTTCTACGCCATCCAAAATTTTCAAAATTTTCGCCTGCGGCGCTAAAAATGAAGATTTTGGCTTGAGAATCTTTGAAATTTTTCAAAATTTTTGCCTCCGGCGGTGAATAAGAAGAGACTCATTTATAAACTATCGACGGAATGGATTTGAACGGATATAATGGATATCCTAGATGTCCATCTAGATCCCAATATCTCATTAATCAACGATATCCCTCTTAATCCATCAGAATCACCTTATCGTTAATACTTTATCCCTCCTCCTTAATCCCTGATACGCCAAGAACAAATGCGCGCTGGGACTTAAAATCAATATTTCAGCACAGCAGATGAAAATTATGGAATTATATTGAGGTATATGCAATGTAAATAAAAATTTAAATTTTGAAAATTTTTTTTAACTAAATCCCGATCCCGATTTTTCAATCCCGATCCCGAGTCGGGATCGGGACCGGGATCGGGATCATTATTCCGAATCCCGATCCCGATTTCGTCCAATCCCGATCCCGCAGTCGGGATCGGGACCGGGATCGGGATCATCATTCCAAAATCCCGATCCCGATTTTACGTCGGGATCCCGATCCCGCCCAACTCTAATTTAGACACCAAAAATTACAGTAATAGACATAAGGCCATCCCAATGAAGGAGCAGAACTTATCTATTAATTTTTACAATTAGTATATTATTTAGGTTTTACAATTTGTATTCAAGTCAAATTTTATATGCACGAGCGCGACGATTTTAGATAATAATAATTTGATAAAATAAATTGTGAGAGAATCAATAAATTTATGTACTATATATCTTAAGAGCGGTTATGAGTCAACTAAAATGATCAGGGACTGAAGATATACTGTATTACGTCCGTATCCGCGGATACCCGCGGATATCCGGATATTATCCGTATCCGTGTGCATGCCTGATACTAAGTACATGTTTTGAAAGCCCCTTCCTTATATTGGATTTACTAAGAATTATTGTTTTTAATTTTTTAAAGAAAATTACAAATGCAGCAACTGGATTAGTCAAAGTGACAGAAAGACTGCTAAATGCAGTCTTACAAGCTCTGATTTATAGTGAATTAAAAAATATTTTTTTTAATTTACAAAAAAAATCCATGTTGCTGTAAAGTAGCCCAACGTTGACAAACAAACCCAATAGCTGCAAAATTAGCCCCATAAGCAAAACCCTGAATTAATCTAATCAATGTAAATTCAATCATTCCTTTAGAAGCAGCAAAAGGTAATAATCCCGTAGATATTGTTGAAAGTATTCCAGCTGACAAAAATACAAAACGGGCACCAAATTTTGTATATAACATTGAAAAGGGGAATGTTGATATTATACTTGCTATTCCAACCTTTTTATTATTATAAAAACAAAATTTTAAATAAAGTTTTTGAAAAAATATTTTGTTGTGAAAAAATAAGTTTAATAATTTTCGAAGTCTCAATTAGAGGTTGTAAAATGAGTAATTTTATTAAAAATTCCATCAAAAAAACTTAAACACGAAAACCGGGGTCTTTTCAAATATTGACTAACCAAAACCTGGAGTAGCGGTTATTTCCCGATACAGATTGATATATTTTCCCGACAGAACAATTCAAAATTATTTAAAAGATAAATTTTTATCAAAATTAAATAAACATACAGCATATTGTAATTGAGCTTTTTCTGCTTGACTATAAGGCACATATTTAGGTATAATATGTGTTTGATTAAAGACAACAAAAAAACCTTCTTCTTCCTATTATTGTGATAAAAATAAATTAAAAAAAATTTAAAATTACTTTAATAATTTTAGTTGAAGAATTAAAACTACTAGATATAATTGTTATATTTTCCCAATTTGGTCTTTTCATTAAAATTAAAGTAAAATTAAAAACTATCATATTTGAACAAATTGAAGTTAGGCAGAGAGTCTGTGAATTTCACAATTTTATTTTTTTTTCTCAAAATTTACCGTAATTAATAAAATAATATATCTATATCCACAAAATTTACAAAAACAAAAAATATTTTTTTGTTTTGATTGTTTTTCTTGTTGTTGTTTTAAATTATTTAAATTTTTATTTAATAAATTTAAATGCCCGTCTGTTTCAGACATTTTTATCTCCATTTTTGTTGTTTAAAATAGTTAAACTAAAAAAGAAAAAAAAACAGGACTATATTTATGTCCCGATTTTTGAATGATTAAATACAGTTAAGATTTAATTAATTCAGGGGTTTAGAGGAGGAGGGGAAGGGGAATTATCTCCTAGAAAAACTCCCCGACCCTTAGTAATGGGGAACAATTCCTTCTATATCTCCCTATATCATTTAAAAAAAGATTAATTTTTAAAAGTTTTAAATCATTAAAAATTTTCCCGTCCCATTCCCTCCCTCTGTAAAGCTACTTCCCCATAAAATTTTTTCTAAATTCACCTCCCTAGAAATTTTATTTTCGTAAAATGTTGGCTAATTGTTAGAAATATTAGAGGTCTGAAAATCAATTAATTTTTGTATAATTATTAATTTTATAATAAAAAATTATTTTTAAATTAATTTTTAAAAATAACAAAATAAACTTGTATATACATTTTTACAAAAATAATTGTTTAAAAAAATGTTATATTTATATACATAGTTATAATCGAGCCAAAAAAATGTTGGCTCGATTACAACTATATAAACATATAAAAATTATTTAAATTTATTTTTTCTTCCGTTAAATTATTAGAAAAGATTATTTGAAAACTCCTAATAAAGTTTGTGCTGGGCGAGTGAAAAGTTTGTTGGAAACAGATTTATAACACATAACAGAAGTAAAGACTATATTGACAGTCGATTGTTCCTTCTTCACAGTTGATTATACTTGACTGTGGATTTGTTGTGCAGTGGATTAACTTTTCCCTAGCAAAACAAATATGTAGGTAGTACATAGAACAATTGAATTTTATTTATTACAGCCAAATAAATATGTAGAGAAATATATTGGAGGGGGCAAGTTGGTTAAAAAGGTTTAAATTAATCTGGACGGACGTAAAAACATGAGAGACATATCATATTTACATATTATGCCTAATAATATTTATGATTATTATTTTGTTGCATTTTTAATTATTTTATTTACATATGTAGCATATGCGTAAATCGGTGCATATTTTGGTGCATATTTTTAACATACATATTTAATTTTAATTTTAAATTATTGAGGGAAGTATGTATTTCAAATTAATTCTTAAAATGCTTTTTTTATTATTAGAACGGAACTACAATTTATTTTTTGTTTTTCTTTAAAAGGAAAGAAAGCATTTTATTAATTGCGGCGATGAAAGAAAATAAAAAAAACTTTTATAAAACAAAAAATATTAAAAGGATATATTAAATTAAATAAAACTTGAAAGAATTGGAAAAACAATAAAAATGCTCGAATGAAAAAAAAGAAACGGATTAATTTTTAGAAAAGCAATTAAAAGTTTTTTGACCTTGTAAGCGGTCAATTATGAGAGAAAAGAAAAATTTATTTTTGTTTTCAATTTGTAAAAATGCTTCCTCGAAAAATTTAATATTAAGAATTAATACAATAATATACTGAAAACTATATTAAAATAAATCTCTCGATTAGAATGACATTGGCAGGAGGATGAAATTTAGCCAGAGGGCATTGAATGTCTTATATAACTTTAAACCTTAAAGCCTGAACGATACCTTACTATCGAAGTATTTCTGTGTATTATGGTGCGATAGGAAATTAGGCTTTAGTAAAATAAAAGTTTAATTACAAAATTTGAAAGCTCTATATTGAAGCTTTTTTTGGGATTAGTTATATTTCAGAAATTTGGGCTCTCAAAAGCAAAGGAATTGGGCTCGTATTTATTGTAATAATATATTATGTAATAATTTATTGTAATAAATAATGTAGTATATTATTGTAATAATATATAAAAACAAAACTTGTAGTTCCATAAACACATATTCCAAAAACTTTTGATAATTTAATGGGAAGACTGATTATTTGTTTATAAATTTTATTTAGCAAGAAAATAATGTTAACAAAAAATTATTTACTATTAATTTATTTAATTAAAATTATTCAAATAATTCCAATATTAACTACAAATATTAACGAAAATATTAAATGTCGAAAAGCTGGAGATTTATTTATACAAGACTTAATACAATATGAATGTTCAATTAATAATGGATTAAATTCTAATAATAATATATTAATACCTGACGGGGGTGGAGATGTTAGCTTCGAAAATGGAATTTCTTTGTTTACTAATAATAATTATTTAGTTGGACGTCCTGTTGGTATGTTGATAAAGTTTTATAATGATACCCACCCCTATTGTTTAAAAAAATTACTTCCTATAATGAGGTGTATCATAAAAAAGGGGTAACATTTAGGGAGCTTCTAAAACCCAGTGAACAAGCAAATTTTATAAACGTATTTTAAATTGAGACGTTTCTGTTTACTGAGGGTTTAAGATATGTTTTTATATTACGGGACCTGGGTCATGGGAAGAAATGTAAAAGTAAATTATAAGACGAAAGTGCAATTTCCTTTTGTGTTCGAGTTTTAAACTTTAAATTTTAAAGGTTGCGTTCCTTCAAATAAAACAGACGGAACAGTTATACGTCCAGGTATTGCTCACATATCTCAACATTTTCGTTATGAATGTACAAATGATAGTCCAAATGGAATTTCTTTAAAAGTTACACGTATTTTAAATTTAAATAAAAAAAATTTTCAAAAAATATTTTTCTATAGATTGTATAGATAATGAAGGAAAATTAGTTAAAATAGGTGAATTCTTCACTCAAACAACTCCAGAAAATTCTGAAGGGAAATTTACTTCTGTTGAGTGTGTTGGAAATGAATTTTTGGCTAAAAAAGTAGTACACGAATGTATGGGAATTTTAAAAAAAATTAAAATAATTTTTGAATTTATTTAAGGGGCAAATTGTGAATTACCTAAAGGTGGAAGGTTGGTAGAAGGAGATTTTGTTTGGCAAGATATACCTGCAAATTCAAAGCGGTCTTTACTTCAAAAACAAGAAATTATTGCTTGTTTAAGGGAAGAAAATAATGTTAAACTTAAATGCACAGGCATGTTTTCATTAAATAAAAATATTTAATGAAAAATAAATTTTTTTGTGGATTAAGGTTGTCGGATAGTCGGAAATCTTCGAATATCTTTCCGGATATCTAGTCTTTTTTCGGATCCAGATCCGACAACCTTATTGTGGATAATTAGTATGTAAATTACTTAAAGTAATACTTTCGCCTATTTGTCCTATGTGTAGGGAATTTAATCTATGTGCTTGATAGATAAAACGGATTATAATATAGGTGTAGTTGCCCCTCCCCCCCCCCCCCAACAAAAAATTAAATTTAAATTTAAAATACCTCAAAAGACTACTTAATATCTTAATTAACTCATTGTTTAAAATTTTACTTAAAGGTTGTGTAGCAACAACCGGCCAAGAATTGGTTATTTCTCGATATGCAAATGTAGCCGGTCAATGGACACAATGCCGGCGTTTTAAGGAGGGATGTCGATTAATTAATGTTACTTCTGATTGTATTTTTAATTAATTTAATATTAAAATTAGAAATAAAAAAATAGACATAGATTGTGAATTTGAGGGGAAAATACACAAACATGGAACGACTTTTGAGAGTACTTCGAGACGTTCACTTTATATTTGTAGCCATGGACAGATTATTAAACAGGGTGATTTTAAAAATAAAACGAATTTAAATTTAAACTTACCAATTTAAATTCCTGTTTTCATTAGCTCCAACTTGTCTAATGCTTATGTTAATCAAGAAAAATAATTCCATACTTATATGTTACAATTTAATAATCAGAACACCCATTAGAGATTGTACCAGGACGAAATCTTAAAAATCTCGGTTATCCAGATTTTTTGAATATCAATTTGAATATCAATATTTAAGTTTACATAACGTCGTTTTTAAAAAAAGACAGAAATTTCAATAGATTGTGGGATTCGCATTAAAGTAGTTGAATAGGCCTCTTAAATAGCAATTCTAAAAAATTTTATGTTTGGAAAAAGAAATTTTATTTTCTAGGCTGTTTTATTCAAGGTCAAGAATTAACTTTAGTTGGGGATGTAAAGTATATTGATGGAATTATGCCGGCACTTTGTGTTGAAAATGATAATTTTACAATGTTTAATAGTTTAGGTATTTAATAAAATTATATTTAAAAAAAATTAAAATTAAAAAAAGTTGGTTGTGACTTACCGGATGGACGTTTTAAACGTTTTATGCAGGTTTGGAGTGATGATGATACAATGAAAAGGTGTTCTTGGGCATTTAATTCTGATGGGAGTATTGCAAGAAGTGAAATAAATTCTTTTGGTAATTCTTTTTAAAAGAATTTTTAAAGTTAACCCACAAATTACGGTCAATCGAAATATTTGCTGAAACCCTGACAACACTAGGATTGTTGGGAGGGGGGGGGGGAAACAACACTAGTAATGCCAGAACAAGGTTATTAATACAAAAAAATCCTCCAAGGGGATTAAAACGAGAGAATTTTTAGGCTTTTTGAAAATTTTGAATAATATTTAGCATGTCTAGATGGATCTGAAGAAATTCCTTTAAATAAAATTGTTCAACGAGAGAATGGACAATTTGTAAAATGTGCAACATTTGAGAGTAATAATGACCAAAAAAATATTGGGTATTTTGTAATTTAAAAAAAGGGAAATAAACTCTTTAGAATAAAAAGATCAACAACAACAAACAATGGAGGGAATTTAATTATTAGAAATTTAACAAGAAATGAATTAAAAGAATTAAGTACAAAAAAGGTGTTTAAAATAAATTATTTTATAGTAAAAAATATGTAAAAATATTTTTAGTTGGCAAAACAAAATATTTTTGAATATTTTGGTGTTGGTAGGCGAGCTTTACCTTTGTTATCGTCAAATAAAGCATATACTGGAGGAAGAGCTAAAGCAAATGGTAAATATTTAAAAATTGTTGGAGTGATGTTAACTTTAAAATTTTTAACTTAGCTTTTATTGGGAGGGATTTATGGGTGTTATTACTCATTTATTTTGTAAAAACTAATTTTTATTAATTAAAAAAAGTAAAATTTTCCTATCTAATTAATATGTAGGAGGGACAGCCCCATATTGTGCTGATATGTTACCATTTTGTCAACGACTTTCTGGTTATTGTGCTAATGAATTTTCTTCAGATGCTTTTGAATTAAAAGGATTAAAACTTCATTTTGATCAATTTGAGGGATGGACAAAATTAGGGGGATGTGAAGGTTTTTTGGAAAAGAAAATAATGAATAAATATAAATTTTTTGTTAAAGGGACACTTAACAGTTCATTAAAATTACAAAAACTTGTAGAACTTGTGTGTGCATATTCTTGTAATAAATGTGAAGTATTTGATGGTGAGGATAAACTTTGAATAATTAAAAATTATCTGACACAGAATTTAATGGAATTTAAAATAATAACATCACTGGAAACGTTTTTAGTTAACATAAAAGAAAGAGAGAGAGAGAAAAGGTTCCTTTCCTCAATGCCATATTTACTAAAATAATTACCCCACACTTTTTACCCCTTCCAGCTAGAAATTGAAACAATAATCACCTAGGGATACTTATTTGAGTAAATAAAGTAAATAAATATTTTTGGTACCGACCACCTTCTTAATTTATGGACTTAACTTTTCTTAACTGATACTTTTCTATTTTACTTTTTATGTATTTTAAATTTCAATTTTGCCTTCTATCTCCATAAAAGAAAAAAATAACATTAAAATTCAATTCACATTTTTACAGAAGCAAAAAAAGAATTAATATTGGCAAGTTTGGAAAATAGTTCTCATTGCAAATGATGTAAATTTATTTGAAATAATGAACGATATTCAAATTCGAAATCAGTTTGATAAAAATCCCGTGTCTCGAGCCTCCTCGAGCCATTTAAATTGCATATTTTTCTATCCAAATTTTTTAATAATTTTATCAATTTTTATTCTCTTAATTTATTTTATATTTAACATGATTTAACACAAATAGAAAAACAAGCAAATTTTTTAACAAGAAATTTAATATAAATAAGAAAGGTAAATAATGAAATAAAAACGTAGTGGGAATTGGTTATATAAGGTTACACTAAAAATGAAGAGAATGTTTTAAAAGAAGATTTTGAATTGAAATATTTTTTGTGGATTCTTTAAATAATTGAAAATTTTAGTAAAATTAAATAAATCTAGAAAGTTTAATAATGGGTTGTTAGATAAATAATGAGCCCTTTGCGCATAATTAAAACAATTTCTAGTAAATGTAAAATAATTTTAACAAAAAGTCGAATACCTATACATAAAGAAAGACTAAAAATACGAAAAGGGCTCATTATTTATCTAACAACCCATTATTACATAAAAATTTATGCCTGTCCTCTTTTTTTACTTTCCTTTAGAACTTTTTCTTTTTCCTTTAGAACTTCAGATAATTTCTCCTTTCTAGCAAATTTTTGTTGTTTTATTCCACATACATTACATAAACGGTGTTTAAGTTCTGGATGGATACGCCACTGTGTTGTTTGTGTAATTCCACATTCGTGACAACGATTTTCCTTAATTATAGAAACACTAAACAATTCTTAGAAATGTGTTTATTTTTTTCCTATATTGGCATTTCAAAAGCATTTTGTTGTTGCGGCTCTGACCTTTTTCAAGTCCTGGCTTCGGCTCTGGAATTTTCAAAATCATGGCTCCCTACCCGGAGCCCTACACAGTACTGGATACCCAGGACTGCGATAAAGAAATGTTAAGTGAAAGTGAAAAAAGTTTAATTTATAAGTAAATAGTGGAAAAGTTTTCAATTATAAGTTCGCCTATTCCCATAAGAAATTTATTTAAATTCAAATTAATTGGACAATTACAAAGTAGAAAGGCTTTTTTAAGCTTTTAATAAAATTTTTAAATCTATTTATAATTTTTTACCTTATTTTACATTAAGAAATTACTTAATGTAATTTCAAATAATTTCCTTAATTATGGATAAAGATTTTTTAACTTTTGTTTTTAAAAATTAAAATTTTTTTTAATATTTTTAAAACCTTTTTTATAGGTCTAAGTCTCCAATTAATTTGTTTATATAAGTAACATTTTTTGCACAAATAATGTTCTTTTAGGTAGGTATTCCATAGTAATCTTTTTGTAATTCCACAACTGAAACAATGTCGGTTTCTTTTATTAATTCCATCACCTACAACATTTAAGATAAGCATTATTTACCAGGCATGATCATGGATGCGGATTTGGATACAGATAATATCAAAATACCTGCGGATATCCGCCTGTATCCGCCGTAAATATGCGGATACGTATACCAAGATCAGTATCCATGACCATGCCTGTTATTTACTTGGAAATAGGGAGTGTGTAAAGGAATTATTGTTAAGATAATATACCTAGTACAAAAATCGAAAAAAAGGGTAATCTTCTAGTTTACTGGTCCCGAGAAAAAAATTACGAAAAAGTGGTGTTTCGATATTTTTGAGAGTTACCAGTAGGTAATCGAGTGTGCTGAGTCCGAATATGAGCTTAAAATTTGTTTATTTCGAACCCCGAACCCGGATTCGACCAAGTCGAATTAGGAGTAAAAATTCGAAATTAAAAATTTAGGGCTAATCTGACACGACTATTCGAGTAGAGTAGAATGGTATCAAAATTATGATGTTTCGACAACTTTGGAGAAAGTTGTCATGAATTAAATACACACTTGGTGAGAATTCCGTATACAAATCCGACACCATAACTTCGTCGAAAGTTGTCTAAACATCATAATTTTGATACCATTCGACTCGGCTCAAAGAGATGAGTCAGATCAAACATAAATTTTGAAATTACAAATTTTTGCCTCTTATTCGACTTGGTCGAATCCGGGTTCGGGGTTCGAAATAAACAAATCTTAAGCTCAGATTCGGACTCAGCACACTCGATTACCTACTGGTAACCCTCAAAAATATCGAAACACCACTTCTTCCTGATTTTTTTCTCGGGACCAGTAAACTAGAAGATTACCAAAAAAAGATGTACATAAATTAAGGTTTTTATGGCTCCAGCTACTACCATAAAGGGCTAAATTCATAAAATATGAGATTATTAATCACCCGGGCCAGTAAAATAAATTGATGGTTAAACGATCGTGTTATTACACTGAAGTCATTCTAATATCCCTGAGGGGGAAAAAATCAAAAAATTTTATTTACTTATTTTATTGCCAACATAAATAATTCTGTTTTTTAATTCTTCCTTCGAATATTCAACTTTTTGTTTTTCCAATAATTCAATTTTATATCCAATTAAATTAATTTCCGTCCAATAACTTGTTAAAAGTAAATTTTTATAATTTTCTAAATTTTCTTTAAATAAATTGTTTTTGTCTTTAATTAAATTATTATTTATTTTTATATTCTCTAAACTTTCATCTAATATAGAAGTTTGATAATAATTACTCATTTTAATAAAATTATTATTTATGAGCACCTTAAATTTATGAGAAAATTAGTTTATGCATTTAAAACAGGGCAGGGATCAAGTCTGCAATTGCGTGCATCCCTGCCTCAAACCCTTTAGGCTTAATCCCTCAACATTTCCTTTAAGTTGTAAACACAGATTTAGAAATTTTTGAGGATTTTGGGAGGCCAAGAGCCATTTCTTTCTTCCTTTTATGGAATAAAATTTAATGAAGAATGTTGGAGTTCGGGTCGAAAAGAGTCTGGGTTTAGGGCAGAAAGTACTCCTTTTTTGCGTTTTAGGTCTGAATTAAAAATTGAAATATATAAAATACCCGTTTCTCAAATTGAGGCAATAATTTTTGAATAATTTCATTATTGCCTATTTGAATGACAATTTTCTTTTTCAATTGAACTTTCGGGGTATATTTTGAATTAGGACTATGTATTTTTGTAATAAAAATATTTTTATCAATATTTAAATTTAATTTACGCAAATCTTCAACATTATAATTTTGTGCAAAATAAGCACTTTTCCTATTTTTACCAACAGTTTTCATTACAAAACGTTCTTTTAATTTTAATTTTTTTAAATAAATAAATTCTCTTTTTTCCTTCCAATTATCATTTATTTTCAACTTAACCAAGTTTCCGTTGCATTTTAAATTTAAATTAATATTTAAATATAATATAGTAAACAAAATAATAAATTTAAACATCTAAAATTGTTTGAAATAATATATTTGATCAGTCTAAGTTTTTGATTAAATTTCGTAATAAATTTTAATTATTATTATTGGTTGCGCGCCTTCTAAAAAGCCTTAATTACAATAAAATGTTTTAATTTAATCCCATGTTAAGCTCAAAAAATTAAGTCTAAAAATAGGCTTATTTTAAAGGAAAAAACATCAAAATTAGCCAATTCTGAAAAAGTTAATGCAAATAATATGTTTATGGTCAAATTCCTTAGTTTTTAGGCCAAAACCTTACTTCATTGCTATAATTCTTGATAGACTTTATTTAATTTTTCGAATTATTTTTTTGTGAAAATAAATCTTTAATAATTACTCCCTAATTACTCCCTAGTTTTTCTTTATTTAATTTAAAAAAGCAAAAACTGTCATGAGCTATCACTGTCATGTGTACATATAAGTAAAAAAATGAATAAATCGAAAGTGCAAATATAAAAATAAAAATAAAATGCCGACTTTCTTTTTCAAAGAAAAATAATTTTTTTTTTGTAAACAATGATGAAATATTTTAAAAATTCTAAGGGTTTCCCAGGTTCATATTTCAGGTATTTTAAAAATTCTAAGGTTTCCCCAGGTACATATTTCAGGTTCCACAGAAATATGTACAAGTTTCCGCAGGATTAAAAGTAACTTTAAAATTTTTTTATTGGTCAGTCAAAGCTAATTTATCAACTTTCCAGTAAGTCTATTCCTAACATAATGGTTACAGAGACAAGATCTCGAAGAAAAATCTGGTTATCGAGATCAATATTTTTGAGATATCTCGACGATTCTCGTACGACACTCCAGTTCGGTCACTAGTGAATAGAGACCAAAGGTCTATTCACTAGAGACCGAACTTTTTTCCCTTTGAAAATTTTCCGTAGGAAATAATTTTTGAAATCTTCAAAATCGAAAAAATATCAAAAATTAGAAATGAATTTGTAAGTGTTTGGTGATTATGCATTCAGTTGGCCCTTTTACTATAACCAACTCTACTCAATAACTTAATCCGGGTTGGGGTTGTTTTGGCGCCAGGCCGTTTTGGCGCGAGAACAAAAAAGTGGTACTTATACGGGACCCAAATTCTTGAAAATTTTATCAAATTTCTATAACATCCTTGACTACTTCCTCCGGAAATTTCAGAATTTTTCATCAAATATTGCTGAAGTTATAGTCGATAGACCTCGAAAAATTAGGCATTTTGCCGAAAGTCAACATTTCTGGCCATAATTTCTGCAATTCTTGCTCAAAAATTCTGAAATTTTTGGAGAAGTTAGATAAAGGTACGAGAGTTATTATTGCAAAATTTTATCATTTTTGATAACCAACTCACTATCTTATAAGCTCGCGCCAAAACGGCCCAGTCCCCTTAATCCGTGCTATGATACCACACCTAATTCCACGTTATCCTTTTAATCATAGTACCTAATCGCTATAATTCCTCCAAATCACATATATTTCACTTATACACGTTCAAATCCACCGATATATCCCTTAATCCCACCAAATTCCTCGACGCCACCCTTAACACTATAAATCTATCGATATCCTTCTAATCCACCACACAAAAGAATAAATATTTAAAACGATGATAGGTTGGCCTGTTTCCGAAAAAACCCTGACAGATTCTTTCCATCTTTAGTTTTCCGAAAATAGAAAATATCACAAATATTCGAAAATAGGTCTGAAATTAATTTTTTAAATTAACTAAATAAATTTTTATAATTTATTTTCGTCAATATTTTTAATCAAAAAATACAAAGTATTTATTTTTATAAATATTTTCTTTTTCTCTCGGCTGTCTTTAAGATTTTCTGTTTTTCTGCACGACTGTTATTTTTGTGTTTGCTTAAGAATTTTACTTGTACATACTCACTCTACACACTCGTGATGGCTAAAACAAATAAGCAAAAACGCACGAATTTTAAATATTTATTTATTGTTAGAAGGTTATTTGTTATTTATTTTTTGGTGAAAGATTCTAATAACCACAATTTTTTACTTTTCCCTTTTTATTTGCCTTATTGATACTTTTTTGGACAGCACAAAAACTATAAAAAAATTTTTAATTATTATCAATAAAGTTATTGCCCTAATCTTTTTAAAATAAAAAATAGCAGATAAAATAAGTAAGGTTGTCGGATCCGAATATCCAAAGATTTCAAACTATCCAACAACCTTAAAAATAAGTTCTGAAATAATTGCCTTGAATGTCATTGTATAATACTTGAAAATTAATTTGTCTATTCTTTTAGCTTCGAATATCTGTCTCGATATCTAATTACTATGTATGAGTTCTAAAATAATAATTTGATTTCGTTAAAATATTTTTAAAGTAATTTTTTGAATATTTATTTATAATGTAATATCTAAATTTAAATAAAACTTTTTTATTTTCAAAAATTAATTATTAAAGTTCAAACTTTACTAAATTACTAAAATTATTTTTAAATTAATATTTTTCAACAATAATTTCTATTAATTAAATGGTAATAACAAAGCGTTACAATTCTGTAGAACAATCTACATCTATACACCTTTCCTCAACTAATCTTGCTGATAATGAGCAACAAAAAAATCAGCAATTGATTGACTATCAATTAATGCACAGAACCTCGTAAATATTATTTTTAAAATAAGAAAATTAAATAATAATTTAAAAAAATAAAGAGAGAAATATTTTAACTTTATTAAAAATATTTTATTACCTATTTAATTCAAGATAATTTTTTATCTGAAATTAATTATGTACCTAATTAATTTATTTATTTGACTTTAACTCAGTATTATTATTTTTTAACTTTTAATGCCTTCCTTTTGAAATTTTTTATTAAAAATTTAAACAATTCTAGCCCTTCAAACGAGCATTTATTAAAACAATCAACACCTCCCATTAATTATTTAACACCTCAACAATATACACCATCCCCTTTACAACAACAACAACAACCTCAAATACCTCAGAGAGGAATAATGCGCCCAACTAGCCGGCAAGAGGCATATGCCACAAACGAATTTTCACGAGAATTACCTCGTCCTCAGAGTAAAAATTTATTTAATAATTTTAATGTTTTAATTAAATATTTATTTGAATTTATTTTGAGGGAGTTTACTAGTCTTTAATTGTTTTGAATTAAATATATACTATAAGGTTGACTCGAGCATTTTCAACATCGACGGAGAAATATAATAAATTCAGAATTAGCTGATAGAAAACTTTTCCTTATTCTAAACATATCTAGTTTAATTTTCGTTTTAATACAGCCAAGAAATCTAGATTAACCCTTCCTAACCAAGCCAGTTCTAATAGGAAATTTCCCAATTTTTTTAATAAGAATTGTTTAAAAATTGAATAATTTAACAATTTATGTAGCCCCAACATTTCTATCCTTTTAGGTACAATACCTTCAATGCACTCCCCTCGAGCCCAATTTCAACAAATGCCACCAACATTTTACCCATATTCTCCTCCTAAAACGGCCAGTTCTCGGATAGAAGCGCCTATAATAGACAGACGTTCTATTATTCGAAGAAAAGTTCCTGGTCCTCTATTACTTGGACTCTCAGCACTTCAAATAATTATTGGCATTGTTACGCTTCTTATAGGTAATTTAAATTTATAAATTAAGATTTGGCCTCTAATTTAACTGCTAAATTAAAAATTAAATTTTGTGGAATTATCACAAACATTTATCCAACTACACTAAAAGTTTGGAATTTCCATTACTTTTTCTCGAACAGCATTTTTTAACTGGAGCCTTTCTCCCTTAATAATTTTTTCTAAATTTTTATCCTTTCCTATTTAGGAGCATTTAATGCCAGTACCTATAAATGTATGATAGAGCCAAACATTCCAGTTTATTTAATTATTTCTGGCATTTTATTAATTGCTAGTGGTGTTGCGAGAATATTCTTTTGGTTAAGCTCAGATTCATTAACAACTGGAAGAAGAAGGGGAAACAATTCTGGAGATGGTAGTCATGTTTGTGAATATTTAATTGAAGGCTCAATATTATTTTGTATTGTTGTTATCGTTATTTTAGGTATTTGATAAATTTAAAAAATTTTTGCGAACATAATTAGTGGCCGTTTTTTAGATTAAATTTTTAGGAGTGTTGTTTTACAAATATTCCCTGAATACCTACCTAAAAATTCTCAAATGCTGCTATCTTTTAGAAAATACACTAACAAATGATTTGTAATAAAAATAAAAAATATTTTCAATAAGCTTAATTTTAAAATCCAAATTAAAAAACGGCCCCTAATTAGTATATCCGCACCTAATATGTATACTACTAGTAAATAAAAATAGAATTATTGGAAAACATGACATAATCAAAATTTATTAAATCAAAATTATCACAAAGATCTGAAGTCATAAATATTTTTGTTTAAAAATTCTAATAAAAACAAAAAATAGGTAAATTAAATATTTCAGGCTGTTTTTGGGTTTATGGAGCATCTCGATATATGCAAAATCAGGTTTAAGAATATAAATTTTAAAAATTTTATTAAATATAATTTAGCGTTATATGTTTGAATGGCATTATTGTAACCCAACAGTTTATTGGACAGCTTGGTGGAGTGTCACCCTCCATTTGGCATTTTTTGCCCTTCTTTTTCTCGCAGTGGTTATTCTACTTGTGTATGGGGCCCTTCTTGGATAATGAAAAATTAAATTAAAAATTTATTTATTCATATATTAGGGAACATGAATAACATTAATTACGATTTGTATTGAATCGAAGGCTTGATCAAAATCGAGTTTGACATGTTTGAGCGTTTTTCGCAAAAGTCAAAATGCGCCAAGCTATTAGGGATATTTGGGATTTGGTCGGATATTGAAAATCCGTATTTTCGCTGATAAATTTTTATATTAATACTGATTTTCAGATTAATATTGAATATTGAGATTAATACTCAGCAAAAATACGGATTTTCAACATCCGACTAAATCCAAAATATCCCTAATGGCTTGGCGAATTTTACCTTTTGAGAAAACGCTGAAACTTGTCAAGCTAAATTTTGATCAAGTTTTCGATTGATATACAGATCATAATGATGTTATTTATGTTTTAATTTTTAAATTGAAGTGAACGCGAACTTTTGACTCTCCCTAATATTATGTAAATAAGAAATAAATATATTTATGTATGTAACAGAATATAATCACGAATACAAATAGAAAATACAAACAAAACTACAAAATATAAGGCACATTTTTGGGCTTAAATGTGTTCATATGTTTTTCACGTTTTATGGCCATTCCAGTTTGATTTAAATTTACCCAAATTGCTCCCTCTTCAATAAATAGAATTCAATTGTTCTCCTTTCTGTTTTGATAGGGAGAAATTATAACCCACAGCACAACAAACCCGACAATCCACCGACTATAATCGAAGTCAAGGAAGAAATAGTCGACTGTCAATAATCCTTGCTTCTGTCTGTGTTTTATTTGTGTTGCCAACAAACTTTTCACTCTCCCACTACAAACTTTATTAGGGGGTTTTCAGATTATCTTTTCCAATAATTTAACGGAGGAAAAAATAAATTTAAATAATTTGTATAAATAAATAAATCTAATACAAAAAAATACATGCAAATTAGCGAGAATTTATTTATTATTTAAACACTTATTTTTGTAAAAATATACTAAATATGTAAAAGTTTATTATGTTATTTTAAAAAAAATTAATTTTATTAATTATTATACAAAAATTATTTTGATTATCTAACCTCTAACGGTTTAAGCTCCACAAGGGGGGGGGGGATGCGAAAAAATTTTTCATGGTTTAAAACTTTAAACAAAATTAATATTTTTCTTTTAACTAGGAGACAGCTCTCCTCAAGTCTGAGTTAATTAAATAATAATTGTATCTAACCATTCAAGAATCTTTTCATCTTTTTTTCTTTCTCATTTCGGTTCTGGTCCACAAGGTTAACCATTTTAAACAACAAAAATGGAGATAAAAATGTCTGAAACAAATGGACATTTAAATTTATTAAATAAAAATTTAAATAATTTAAAACAACAACAAGAAAAACAATCAAAACAAGAAAATATTTTTTGTTTTTGTAAATTTTGTGGATATAAATATATTATTTTATTAATTACGGTAAATTTTGAGAAAAAAAAATAAAATTGTGAAATTCAGACTCTCTGCCTAACTTCAATTTGTTCAAATATGATAGTTTTTAATTTTACTTTAATTTTAATGAAAAGACCAAATTGGGAAAATATAACAATTATATCTAGTAGTTTTAATTCTTCAACTAAAATTATTAAAGTAATTTTAAATATTTTAAATTTTATTTTTATCACAATAATAGGAAGAAGCTGGCCCTTTTGTTATTTTTAATCAAACACATATTATACCTAAATATGTGCCTTATAGTCAAGCAGAAAAAGCTCAATTACAATATGCTGTATGTTTATTTAATTACTATAATATTTTATAAAAATTTATCTTTGAAATAATTTTGAATTGTTCATTAGCGGTAAATAACCGGTACCCAATTTTCGGGTTTATGTTTTTTGGTGAATTTTAAATAAAATTGCTCATTTATAACTAGGGCGTGTCAAAATATGCACAGAAAATCCTAAAAATATGCGCATATATATGCACCAAATAATCCCAAAATATGCACTGGATATGCATTCATCATTGACTAAATTTACTCAAAAAAATTTGAATTCAAGCAATAAAGGTCTAAAGTGCTCAAATCTAAGTAAACACACTATTTTTGAGCGTTACAGCTCATGACAAAGCTCATGGCAAAATATGCTTTTACATGTTTTAACACACCTACTAATAACCTCTAATTGAAGTTTGTTGGAAATTATTAAACTTTTTTTCATAACAAAATATTTCTTCAAAAAACTTTATTTTTAATTTTATTTCATAATAAAAAGGTTGGAATAGCAAGTATAATATCAACATTCCCCTTTTCAATGTTATATACAAAATTTGGTGCCCGTTTTGTATTTTTGTCAGCTGGAATACTTTCAACAATATCTACGGGATTATTACCTTTTGCTGCTTCTAAAGGAATGATTGAATTTACATTAATTAGATTAATTCAGGGTTTTGCTTATGGGGCTAATTTTGCAGCTATTGGGTTTGTTTGTCAACGTTGGGCTACTTTACAACAACATGGATTCTTTTTGTAAATTAAAAAAAAATATTTTTAATTCACTATAAATCAGAGCTTGTATGACTACATTTAATGGCCTTTCTGTTACTTTGACTAATCCAGTTGCTGCATTTGTAGGTTTAATGCAGAGGTGAATCTGAATTCTGATTTCCGACGTTTTTTTCCTTCCGATTTCCGAAATTTTGGAAAAATTTCCGATTTCCGATAATTTTTGAAGTATATTTCCGACTGAAGATTTTTCCAAAATTTTCCAAATTCTCGCCTGCGGCGCTGGAATAGAAAATAAATCTGGCTACCTGGCCTTCCCAAATTCTTTAAATTTTCGCCTGCGGCGCTGGTAAACGAAGAAGTATGGGATATAGGGATCTGGAGGATATTGTGGAATTTATTGATGATTCGGAGAAATACCAGTGGATTGGGGATAACATGGAGTTGGAGAGGTATCAATTGATTAAGTTTTGGCTCAACATCTCTCTTAATCCCCAAATATCCATCCTAATCTTCAAATTCCTTGATATCCTTTTCAATCACCCAAATTCCACAATATCTCTTTTAATCCCCAAAAATTTGCCTCTCTCGATATCCTATTAAATCCAATTATGGACTATAGCTTGTCCTTCGCGAGTTTGATTGCCAATTTCATTAAAAGTTAGTTGTTAACATTTTTTCCATGTGGCATTTTGTCATCTGGCATTTCCGATTTCCGACTTCCAAAATCTAGGCTGATTTCCGACTTCAGAGCTCCGACTTTTGAGCCATTTCCGATTTCCTATAGTTCCAATTTCCGGCACCTTCGTCATTTCCGATCCACCTCTGATTTAAAGTTGTAAAACTTTATTATTTTTCCAATTTAGATAAGTTCTACTCCTTCATTGGGTTGGAATTGGGTCTATTATTGTAATTTGCGTCTTAAGCTAAATGAAATTTTTTTCTTTAACATTTAGTTCAAGCATTAGTTTCCCCAATAATTTTCGGATTATGGCTATTTCTTTACACTGACCATCCTGATACCCATTCATGTGTTAGTCAAATTGAAAAGGATAAAATATTATCAGGCAAAACTGAGGCAGAAATTGGACTTAGTGGATTTATGCCTTATCGGTAAAAAATTAAGAAAACTCCCAAACCTTCCATTTAAATATTCTAGAGCAATTTTAACAAATAAAATTGTGCTCGTTATTTGGCTTAATTCATTTGCGGATATTATCACATCCGTATTTTTAATTACGTATTTGCCTACTTATATTTCTAAAGTTCTTCGTTATGGTGTTAGAGAAACTGGGATTTGTAGTGCTTTACCCGCACTTTTACATCTTCCTGTTAAACTTATTTCTGGATGGCTATCTGACAATATGAGGTAATGAAAGATTCCTGATCTTAAGTAGAGGACAGATGTCCTCTTAATTTTATTTCCAGAGTAGAAATAAAATTAAGGCAGGTGTTAGGCTGGAATAGACGGAGGGGGTCAGGGCTTAGCCGAGTATGATGCGCACGTCGACATTGGTCTGATCTAGAAAAAAAATCTCGTTTATCGAGATAAATATTTTTCGAGTTATCTCGTATGACAATTCTTTTATCTTGCGAAATATCAATCTCGATTTTTGTACTAAATACCATCCCAGTCAGATCTCTAACATTGAGTTTCTTATCGCTACTAGTAATAATTAAAGATTTATGAGTGAAATTGGTCGAATGCTCCTTTTTAATTCAATAGCTTTAGTAGGCTCAGGTGTTGCTTATGCATTAGTTGGTTTTGTTCCAGATGATAAACGTTTTTTAGCAGTTATTTTAATGACTATAAATTTTGTTTTGGCTTCAACAAATTGTGGGGGATTTTATAAATGTGCAACATTAATTAGCCGGTTATAAAAATATTTTTATGAAAATTATAAAAAAAATCGGCGCTGGTTTAGATTATGCGTCCAATGAACATTTATGCGTCCAATCAACAAAAAATTGGATTTTTCCTTGTATTGCATGCTTGGTTCCAGAACATTTCTTCATATTCGGGACCTACGCCCACTGGGTTCGGGACCATTCCTTACCATATCCCTCGATTCTCTGAAAGTTATAGCCAATTTTTAAAAATTTCAAAAAATTTTTAACTTTCAGAAATTTCTAGGGATATGGTAAGGAATGGTCCCAGACCCAGTGAGCTTAGGTACGGAACATGAAGAAATGTTTTCCAATTTTTTGTTTTTTCCAATTTTTTGTTGATTGGACGCATAAAAGTTCAATGGACGTATAAACTAGACCAGCGACAAAAATTCTAGGCAATATGCCCATTTTGTTGTAGCTGGTATACAATTCGAAAAATCTGTCACACTTTTTATTTCCCCATTATTATTCCTTTTATTCGTTCAAGATGAAAGTAATCGAGAACAATGGAGAATTATTTTTATTGGAATGGCTATAATACTTTTTGTGGTAAATTAGAATTAAGGGAGGGACAGTTACGAGTAGGGTTTGACCCCGACCCCGAACCCGTTCCCGAACGATTTTTTCACGATTCTCCCCGACCCGAACCCCGCCCCGAAAAAAAGTGAAAACCCCGTACCCCGACCCAAAAAGTTTCGGGGTTATCGGAGTTATATATACCCAAAAAATGCCATTTTTGGGAGAATTTTAAGTGAAAAATTTTAAAAATTTCCTCCCAATTTACATTGCTTTTATTATTTTTGAAAGAAAAATGAAAGAAATATCAAAATTCTTTTTCCCACTCTGTTAAGAGACTTGTGGTTGTGTGGTTTAGTTGCAGGTTTAGCCTATATTTCCATTAATATATTATTGGGTTCGGATCCAAATAGGCACAACTGGCTTTTTAGGATTTTTCTTTACAAAAACAAGAGTTTTTTTAATTTTAAAATGTTAATCTTATTTTTAAATATTGTCAACCATAAAAAACAATGCAAGATTTTTTTATTTAGCGTTAAAATTTCAAAAATTTTCGTGCGCAGAGCTAACCCTAAAAAATTCTATAATTTTCGCCTGCGGCTCTGAAAATGTAAAGCTCAGCTATAATGCTATTGAGGGATTAAGGAGGTTATCAGGGGTTAATCCCTCGCCAGATATGTCAGTTAATCTCTTTAAATCTTTCTTAATCCGTCAAAATTTATTTACCTCCCCAGATATTAGTGTTTCACCGGAACCAAAATTTTTACCAGAACCTGGTCCAATTTTATTTCGTATCCCAGAACCGGACCGGAACCAAAAAACGCCGGAACTTCCCGAAACCGGAACCGGAATTTCCGGTGAAACACTACCAGATATACATTTTAAATCAATAAAAACCATTAATCCCACCTTATTCTCATTAATTTCTGAATAAATTAACGAAAATAGACCAAAATGGCTTATTTTTAGAGCATTTTTTTTTAAAAAATTTTTCAGTAAACCCCCGTACCCCGTACCCCGACCCGAACCCCGACCATATTTTGCTCCCCCGACCCGAACCCCGCCCCGAAACATTTCGAAAACCCCGTACCCCGACATACCCGCCCCCGAACGTTCGGGGTCAAACCCTAGTTACGAGTATCCTAAATGTTTCGGTTCAATTATCGGTTCTGGATATCCTGAGTTTGTCAGGAACCGTCAAGCCTAATCAGAATTATCTAAAATAATATTTTTGATTTTTTAAAGGCAAATACTTTCTTTTGGTTTTTTGTAACAGACCAACCTGCAGAATTTACTAAAATTGTAACAAAACAAAAATCAGAAAAAGAATAAGAAAAAAATTTTAAAAACGGATATACACCATAATCGAAATAATATATTTAATTCAACAAATTTTTCGACTCAGTAGATCTTTGTTTATCGATATCGTTCTGAGTCAAACACTAGTCCCTATACTTCAAGACTAAAGGATATGAATCTTTATTGACTTATAATGTTAATATCCGACGATATTTGACAGTTAAAAAGGCAGAATATTTACCAAAAGCGGACAAATAAACAAAAATAATTTTAAAAAATTCGTAGAAACCCCGAAATGATAAAAAATAATTTTAATAAAAACTCAATCCTTCAAATTTATATTTATTATCCACTTTTTCATCTTCAATTAAGAATTTTCCATCTGAATGACGGAAAACGCTAATATTAGTTGCAATAGGCACTCCTTTGTTTTCTTTAGCTTTTACCGCAACAATAATTTCATCATTGCTTTCGGGTAAAAATTGGAAGGCTGTATAGCCGCTTGAACCATCACCAATAGAGCCGATTCGTTTTGTCTTGAAAAATATATAAAGGGATTAATTGAAATTGGATGGATCGAATAATTTTAAATGTACCTCTCCCTCTATTATGTTAATTGTAAAAAAATATTTTTTAGACTTTTTAATGAATTTTTGATATTTTTATTTTTTTATTTATTAAATTATTTTTGGGGTATTATTGCTTAAAAATTAGCCCTTAGTTCTTATTAATTTAACTTTTAAAATATTTAAAATCACCTCAATTTCTGTAAAGTTTTCATCCGCAATTATTAATAAATTTGTTCCATAATTTTCACCTTCAACATCTTTGGGAGAAACATTCGAAGCAAATCTTAAATAAATAAATTATTTAATTGGAAATTTAGACAAATAGATTGAAATTGGAAAGGTGAAGGAAGCTTTATGATAATTAAATAAAAACCTTGGAAGAAAGAACCATTTCTTATAAAAATCAGACCATTGGACAGCTTCTAAAAGTTAAAATTTTAGATACAAATAAATAATTTTTGAGTTGTTTATTAAAAAATTGCAAGCCAAGCTCTACTAATTTTAATAATTAATTTTATAAATAATTGTATTAGAACTCTGGCCTTATTTTACAAAAACAGGATTTATAATTCTTATTTAATCATCTCAAATCCTATCATTTCAAATATAAATTTTAATTTGGTAATTTTTTGTCACGTTAATTCATTTTTAAATTTTGTTTTTTTTAAAACTTGCCATGAACTAAAAACCCTGGAAATGTTATATTTACAGCATTCCTAAGTTTGTCATAATTTTTAATCCAACTAAATGAAGTAATTTCTCCATTTATGTTGATTACCTTTAATTTTTGAAGAAAAATATTTTTAAAAATTTTTTGGAGTTAATTTTTACTTTAATCCACATTGAATCTTTTATAATTTTCCCTGATTTAGTATGCAATTCTGAAAATAAAATAAAATTATTTTGTAGGAATAATTCATCTTGAAGCATTTTAAGCGGGATTGGAAAGGGAGAAGAGATGATTTTAATATTTACCGTAAATGCTGAAATTTTTGCCTCGTTTAATTATTCTCGCAGGAGGGGGTAATTAATAGGGAAGAGGTTCTGAATTTGGAGTAGATCTAAATGCAATTGAGGCGAAATTACCTAATTTATTTTTCGATATTGATTCTTTAAAAATTCCATTGATTAAATTTGAAAATCATTTTAAAAATATTTTCAAAACTAGTTTAGGAAGAATGTGGGGGGGGGGGGTAATTATAAGAGAGAGTGTGTATTTTTGATAGGGGGTATTTGCTCAGCGTTTAGAGTAGTTTGAATGGGTAAATTATCAAGCTTGTCGCGTTTAGGAAAATTATTTTGAAAATGCCGAATTTTGAAACCCAAAAATTGCTATTTTGCATCTTTTAAAAAACTACAGAATTTTTCTCGAAATATTTGATAGAAATTTAAATTTGCCAGAAGCATTCTTAATAAAAACAATTTTCTAAACATTACCAAACCCTAAACCTCCAACAACCAAACAATCATTTTTTATAGTCATCCATTCCCCTTTAAATTGTTTAGAAGAACCAGGTCCATTATTTAGAATAACCCAAGGAACCAAACTTGTAAAATTGTTAACTATTCTTTAAAATAAAAAAATTATAATATCACATATAAAAAAGATTACTTGTGTACAATTCCTGTCCTGTCATCAACTGTGACCAAATAATTATCAAAAACTGTCATTGCAGATAGCCTTTAAATTTTTTATTGCTTAAATTTGCGTTAAGTCGAATTTAGATCTAAGAGTATTATTTAAAAAATTAAACCCTATATACCGGTCACTCCAGATTGTTTCCCATCAAGCTTAAAGCCTTAGTTGTTTATGTATCCCATGGACCCATGGTCTTATAATTAGAGGTTTTGAATAAATCTAGACATACATATAAACAAGAAATCCACTAGATTTATTCAACAAAACGCGATTAAATTTTAAATATTTATTTTTTAAAATTAACATACTCCATAGCCTTTCCATCAAAGTTTAATTGAGAGTAGAGGACTTTACTTTGATTATTCCAAATAACTGTTGTATTGAGGGATTGTGGATTAAAATATAATTTTCCAGTTAATAAAAAACTTTTCCAAGTATTATTCCTTTCGTTATCCTTACT